CAAATGAATATTTTTAATCAAGATAAAGATCAAAATCGATACGTTTGATTGAATAGAATTGTTCAGTACCAACACGACGGCAAGATACTTTATTTTTATCTAATTTTCCTTCAGTATTTATTAAACGAATCATTTGTTCAGTTGTAAATGGACCTTGAAGATTTTCAATTGAATTTACATTTGTTGTATATTCCCAAAGAACTTTTGATGAACCTTAACAAAAAATTAAAAATTATTTTTTTTGTTTTTGCTTTATTTTATAAAAAAATTGATTTTTTTTTTTTTTTGTTTTACTATTTGTGTCTGTTGGTTTATTTATAGATGATGAAATATCACTATCACCATACATATCAAATGTTGAATCTTTTGATGATTGAAGACGATCAAGTTGTGTTTTAAGTCGTTCATAAGTTTCTTGATAAATATCAAGTTCACCATTAGATACAAATTGATCAGCAAGACCAGACATTTCTTCAAGTAAAAGTTTATTTTTTTTTAATTCTTCTGGTGTTTGTTCAATAGTATTTGTTGTTTGAATTTCACCAGGAAGTAATTTGCGTTGTTTCCATTGTTGTTTTGGTTTATTACTAAATAAATAAATCTTTTTGACAAAAATATTTTATTATTTTTCTTTTTTTTTTTTTAAAAAAAAAAGAATTTTTATCTTACTTAGATATAATTGTTCCAAGTCGTTTTATTGTACGAGCAACAGTTTCACCTGGTTTCATAATTGCAAGCATTGATTGAAGTGTTTTTATTTTATTAAATGAATTTGTATCTATTTCATCATCATCATCAGATAAATTAGATTTTTTTTGATCATCAAAATCATCTCCTGTTGCATTGGGATTTTTTAATTTATAATTTTTAACATTTGTCCAATCAATTTCATCAAGCCATGCATCATGAACTTCATCTTTCTAAATAATGAAATAATTACATTTTGTAGTCTCAAGTCTTCATAAACAAAGATATTTTCTAACAAAATGAACTGTAAAACATGTTCAAACTATTTCTATATCTTTAGAATCATAAAAGAAAAAAAACTTTATCTGACTTTAAATAATTATTTCACATTAAATTTCTAATAAACATAGAGTAAATTCAATCGATCAGTCTTCTTTCTTTCTAAACATCTATGGGCAATTCTATTGTATATATGACTTTCTCTAAATCGATTTCCTTATTATGATAAGAAAAGATCCTCTATAGATTGTAATGTTGAACAGATCAATCATTCATAAAATTAATACAAAATATAGCTAATACTATGCAAAACAATAGTATGAATAATACTAAAATGTCCATCATCATATATCGTTAACGCAGAATTTAGGCATATAGCAGGTTTTGCAGAGCAAAATTTACTCTACACGCCACTTTTTAGAGGTACAGGCCATTTCCGCACGAAACTGTTTCGTAATGAATCTAATCATAAATATACAGGGTGGTCCAAAAGTCACGCACGAAACAAAAAAATTGAATATCTCCATTACAACTCAAGCAAACGAGCTGAATTTTGTATCAACGATAGAGCCATGTTCAAGGTTTATATTCATAAAGACATGCCTAGAGAGATCTTTTGTTAAGTATCATTAATGACCTCAGCAAGAAAATTTTTAATTTTTCACAGATAGAAAGAAAAACAGTATACTAAACAGAGGGTCTCTTTAGGCATGTCTTTATGGATATGAAGTTTGAACATGCCTCTATTATTGGTAAAAAAATCAGCTCGTTTGCTCGAGCTGTAATGGAGATATTCAATTTCTATTTTGGTAAACTGACTTTTGGGCCACCCTGTATATGGCTCAAAACTCATGATATCAAGAAAAAATTAAATATCTCCGCTACGGCTCGAGCAAACGAGCTGATTTTTTTACCAATAATAGAAACATGGTCACACTTTAAATCCATACGGACAATATTAGAGAGAGCCTTTATAAAGTACCACTAATGACCCCAACAAAATAATTTTACTTTTTCATAGATAGGATAGAAAAGAATATACTTAACAAAGGGCTTCTCTAGGCATGTCTTTATGTATATGAAGCTTGAACATACCTCTATCATTGATAAAAGAATCGGCTCGTTAACTCGAGCCATAGTGGAGATATTCAATTTTTTTCGACAAAGTAACTTTTTTTTCTAACTGTAAAAAAGTAAATTTTTCTTGTTGAGGTCAATAATGATACTTAATAAAGGATCTCTCTAGGCATGTCTTTATGAATATAAACCTTGAACATGGCTCTATCGTTGATAAAAAATTCAGCTAATTTGCTTGAGTTGTAATGGAGATATTCAATTTTTTTGTTTGGTGCGTGACTTTTAGACCACCCTGTATATGCCATCACACAATAAAACTTCCATGCTAAAATGGTTCTCTATGCGGTACTCCCCTAAAAAGTGGCGTGTAGAGTAAATTTTGCTCTGCATTAGCGACATCTGATGATGGACATCTTACCATTATTTATACTGATTTTTGTATAGTATTAGCTATATTACGCATTAATTTTGTAAACACCCTTTCTAGAACCGCGGTACTGAGCCTTGCTTCTTTTAGGATTACGCCGCAGCAACAGTATGTTTCTAGCCGCAATGGACATCTCTGCTAGGTAGCATTCCATACTGCAAGGAAGCGGAAAAGCAGAAGTATTCTTCTTCTTTATATCATCGCGACACAAAATAGCGATTTCGATTTATGTGCTTGCAATCGACTACTGTGCAATGTTTCGCACTATTATGAATAGATTAAATTCATTAAAAAAAAAACCTTGCACAATGTTTTAAAGGTGAATGCATGTTTCGAAAGAAACCTATATATATATAATGTTCAGTGTGTCTATGCCGGGTCAGAGGTCGAATAAGGCTATGGGAGTAAGGCAATATGGATAAGGCTATAATAGAGTAAGGTTATAAAGTGGTAAGACTACAAGAAATATAAGGCCGTAAGGCTACACGGGCTATGAGCGATATAAAGATATCACGCCGTAGGGTTTCTATGTATATAGTATCGAGTGCCGTTTACCGAGTGAAAGGTTTGAGGTCATACGTTAAAGAAAAAAAAGCTGCCGCGTAGTATGCACACGTTCACGCTAGTATATGTATACATACATCTTTTTTTTTCCATTGATAACAACCTGTTTCGTCATAATGTCCTTCTTCTAATTCTTCATCAATATTAAATGGTGTTATTTTGACATCATCATCAAATCCAATTGTCGCACTTTCTTGTCCAATTTCTGGAAAAGAAAAATAAATAAATTTTTTTTTTCATAAAAAAAAGAACAATTTTTTTGTTTTTTATTGAAACAAACCATCAAGATCATTTTGATTCATTTCTTTAACATTTCCTTGTTCAGCATCATCATCATCTTCATCACTATCTAATGTATATTTTCCACTATGTAAACGTGTATCATGTGTTGTATATTTTTGTTTTTTATGTTCATCATTTATATCCTGAAAACTAACTTTACGTTTCTTTTTATCATCCATATTATATCTAGAATTATATTACAACGTTATTATTTATTTTATTTTATAGTAAAGAAATATATTTTTAACGTTTTTTAAAACCAAATTTTTTTCTTTCATAAAATAAATCTGTTTTTGCACTTCCTAAATTAACAATTTTAGGACAACCATCACGATCTTTTTCCGTAATTGTACATTCACGACAATAATATGCATCTGAACATCCTGGACCACCACATATAACACATCGACCTTGATATGAACCATAATTACATTCATCACATATTCGTACAAGAGTTGTTGGACGAACATATGAATCACATATAACACAACGACCATCACATTTTTCACAAAGACGACCAATTGCAACACCAGCTTGTTTACGACAAAATATTAAATCTGGATGATGTTTTGCCATTTCTCTTTAAATAATTGAATATTATGTTTACAAAAGTTTTTCAAAAAATCTAAAAATTATATTCAAATTTTTCTTTATCAAAATTTAATAAATGCACCGATTTTATCATTTAATTTGAAAACAATTTTTCAAAAAGTTCAAACCGCAAAAAATGTATTTGTGTATCAGTTTTAGATCTAATCGGTTCGGTGCGTTTAAAAAAGACATATACGAACTGATTCCAGGTCTGATAAATAATAGTGAATTTGCGGAGTCAAGCTTTTCTAAAGTTTTTTTTTCCCATGAATTAGCAACAGCTTAAATTTACGGTGGTATTACGTATTTTAGGAGTATTCACTCTTCTTCTTTAATCATTTCTGATTTTCCAAGAGAGTATAACTGATTTTTTAGTACAGATAGAGAACTTAAAATACACGGGCATGTGTTCAAAGAAAAAAATTTTAAACAAAGTTTTCATAGGACTGCTGAGAGGTAATTTTAAACTTTTTCAAAAATCTAATTTTTCTTTTTTTATGGAAAAAATACGTAATGGTTTAGCTTCAAAACTAGAGTGCTAGTGTTCAGGGTTCTATAAACCTTGATAAAAAGGTAAAAAACAAAAACGATCGATTTTTACCTCTGGAGAATACTTCCAAGTTATATTCGTTTAGCTGGTGTTCGCCTTCATAAAAAATGTTCCACTGTGTGATGTTATAACATGACACAGTGGAATACTTTTTATGAGGAAGGAATATCCGCTAAACGAATATTAACAACATGTATAGTAGAACTAGAAGATGTTTTGTACATTTGAATTGTATTTGACGCACTAACTATTGGAAATATTGGTTAAATATTTGTACGTACGTTCTTTCTTACTAAAATATCTATAATGTTTTAATTGGTTAGTTGATTAACCAATGAAATTTTATTTTATCATGAAATTCTTTTTTAGAAAAAAAAAGCTAAATTAAAAAATTTTGTATTTTTATTTTTTTTTTATTTAAAATTTTTATTGAATAAAAAAATGTTTTTTTTTTGTTAACCAATCATTAATTGATCATAGGCTCTGTTGACTAAGTCCTAGTGAAATATTTTCGTTATTCTTCTTTATTTATTTTCTTCTATTATGACGGATTTTACAAATACAACATCTCAAACTCTTGAACAATTACGTACAGCTGAAGGTAAATTAACAACAATGCTATGGAATGCTGGTAATATTGTTCAACAATTAAGTTGTGAACAAATTCCACGTGAACAAATTGAATCATTAGCTCGAAGTTTTTCTGAAAATGCACAAACAGTACAACAATCATTACATGCAAGTGTAGCTAATTTAGAACGTATATCATCTGGTTTACCACATGAAGATTCATGTTATGGAGCTTGGTTAGATTTTAATTTAGCTTCAATGAGAACAGAAACAACACGAAATAAATTATATGAATTAAAAAATAATTTAGAATTACAACGAAGTCGTGAACGTGTTAAAGAACTTGAAGGACAATTAGCACAACTTTAATAAACAAAATAAAAATCATTTCTTTCGTAATTACTTTACAGATATTGCATCATAAATTTCAACATGTTGTAAACATGTATATATTTTATTCTTGCAATTTTTAGATTTTTTTTAACTTGTTGTTTACCTTCTTAAAACTACAAAAAAAACAATGCTTGAACATTTAATGCATGTTAATACTTGGTTTCCTAAATATGAAGTTGATCTTGCTGAACAAACACATTTCAATGTTTTTGTAATTTTTCAAAAATAATTTATTAATTTCTATTAAAATTATATTATATTTCATAGGGTGAAAAACCAAATATTACAACATCATTTATTAAACACGAAAAAACTGAACCACCAAAACAACAAGAACAGGTCCGATTTTCGATCTTCTAATAACATAAAACATCATATCGTGAAGTTTTTTTTTTTTTTTGCCCTAAAGAATTCTCTAATGCTTCTCTATCATATATAACCTTTATTCCTATATGCATGGTGTGCATTTATATTTGTACATAACATGTCATAAATATTTTCATCAATCTTGCAGGCAAGTTTAAGTAAACAAATTCATGATGTTAGAAAAATTATTAACCAAACTAATCCAACAACAATAACATCTAATGAAATGAATATGAATACTGAACAACGTCTAGCAAATATTGAAACAACACATAAAAATATTTTACAAATGCTCGATGATCTTAAACGACGTGTTGAACAACTTGAATTAAACAAACAAACGATTTGTGCGGTCAGATATCTATCTATAGATATTTTAGAGAAGGAAGGAAAAAAACAAAACATGAAAGATTTTTTGTCTTAATCCCCTTTATAAAATAAGATTTTTTTTTTCTTGGTGTCTTTATTTTTATAGTTTAATTAAATTAGTATCTGTTTTTTTTAGAAACCAGTTGAATCAAAAAAACCTGCAGCTGCTGCTGATGATGATCTTGATTTATTTGGTTCTGATGATGAAGAACAAAGTGAAGAAACAAAAAAACGTTTAGCTGAATATGCAGCAAAAAAATCAAAGAGTAAAAGATTTATTTCTCAATTAATCGGATAAATATTAACCTTTTTTTGTTTTTTTTCTAGAGGAACAAGTTATTGCCAAAAGTACAATTGTACTAGATGTTAAACCTTGGGATGATGAAACTGATCTTGGTGCTATGGAAAAAGTAGTAAGATCAATTGAAGCTGATGGTCTTGTTTGGGGACAATGTTAGTAAAAATTAAAAGAATTTGAATTTAATTTTATATAAATTTTTGTTTTTGATCTATAGCTAAATTATTACCAGTTGCTTTTGGTGTTAAAAAATTACAAATTGGTTGTGTTGTTGAAGATGATAAAGTAAATTATTTTTTTGTTCTTTCATAAATATTGTTTTTTTTGCTATTTAGATTGGAACCGATTTTCTTGAAGAAAAAATTTGTGCATTCGAAGATTTTGTTCAATCAGTTGATATTGTTGCATTCAACAAAATCTAAGTGGATGATTTTGTTTTGTTTTTTTTTCGTTTTTTCTCATGTTATCATCTGAGAATATATTCATTTGATATTTCTTCTGGAAGAAAAAAATAACAATAAAAAAATAACGTCAACATTATCATCAATAAATTCTATTTATCTAATTCTATCTGTAATGAAAAATGATATTCTCTTTTTATGCATTAATTAGATAGGATGATCCAAATTTCGTCGATGGTGAAATTTCATGTAGTATGTTGCCGAAAGTAGAGCAGACTTTCGCAAGCTGTCATGAAATAATATTAATATAGAATACATGTGAGGTAGGAAACTGTGGATTCAAACCCGAGGGTTTTTCCATTAATACCTGTCGTCCTTCAGTATACATGAACAAGTGAAGAATCAAGATTTTAGCTATTTATTCGCTAGAAAGAAAGAGATGATGCACATATAATGGCGCCATCTAACAAAAACTAGATGCATGATAAGCATAAACAAAAGTAGACAATACTGACACTTCGAAAAAGTCATAGATAACTCATAACTGGAATTTTTCCTATGAGAGAAAGATATTTTTTCCCGACCGATCGGTTACGCACACAGATAGATTCTTCACCTTTGGTCATAACTCTCCTAAAACAAGTCAATCCTTCATAAAAATTTCAGGGTATATGCAGTTTTATTTCCTCTAAATTAACATCTGAGGAAGGGCAATAAGGAAGCTGCGGATCCTTCCACACCCGGATCCGAGCACAAAGTTATTTCTTTGGCGGAGCCAAGTCCAAAGTGTTATTTTTTGTTGAATCCGGTTATACGTTTTTATGGACCCGCTGCTCGCTAGATGAAAAATATAGTAACAAGATATAACTGTACGTTGAGTTTTTTTTCTGAGAGTAGCGAATAAATAGCTAAAATCTTGATTCTTTACTTGTTCATGCACACGAAGGATGCTAGATATTTATGAAAAAATCCTCCAGTTCGGGCTCAACCGGGTCCGGATTCACAAAAACATAGACCCGCATCTCTCTAGAAGGTGATTAAGTCTTCCCTTAATTTCATAAGTAAATTAGTTTCAATAATTGAAATATCAATATTAATTTAATCTAGTTAACCATTTTGACACACTGACAAAAAATAAGGAATATGTAAACGAATAGAATATCGGATTAACCTCAATTATGAATATATAAAAAAAAATAAAGTTATACCTCCTGCTGTTATTTGTTTAAATGAGAAAATGATGTTGAGTTACGTGTGAAGTATGATAACAACCTCTAGGCTAAATTTCTTTTTTTTTCGATAAGCTATTCAATTTTTTTGCCGACAAGAACTTTATTTTAACAGTATCTATTGCTTTTTTCTTTTTAAATTATCATAACTAAACGTCTTCAAAAACATTTTGTGTGCTCATCATTTACGCTCATTTTTCTGTTGTTTACGATTAATGAATATCAAACGTAAAGAATTTATTCTATATAGGAAGAAAAATAAAATTTCAATCTTTCAATAAAGTACAAAAACAAAAGCATCAAAATGATGCTGATTCATTTTGACTTGTATATGACAAAGTCATCGGATGTTGTTGTTGATAATAAGATGATGAATACGGATCATATGATGGATATGTATTTTCTCTCATACAAAAATTTGTCATTGTTGTTGATGAATTATTTTGAGTTGGATAAATACTATGATAAGATGGTGGTGGTGGTGGTGGTGGTGATGAATACATATAATATGATGTTGAAGGATAAAATGATGACATCGATTGATTATGCATTTGTAATTGTCGTATTTGTTGACGATAACGACGACGATGAAAACGACCTTGTTCAAGTTCTTTTTCAGCTAATTCATGAATACGCCAATCTAAAAAAAAAAAAAATTTTTTTTTTGTTTTATTGAATTATTACAAAAAAATCTTCATACAATGTCCTTTGCCATTTGTTCCACGTTCTGCTTTAACAAAACAATCATTTAATGATAAATTATGTCTTACACTATTTTTCCATGATTTATTAATATCTTCAGCAAAATATCGATATCTATTTTGAAAATACAAAAAATTTCAAAAAAAATTTTTCAAATAATTTTTACTTTCGTTGAAAATAATTATAAATTTCATATAATTGCATCATACGATTTGGTGTTTTTAAAATTGCTTCAGCAATTATTTCAAGATATGATTGATTGGGTTTTTTTGGTATTTCATTTTCATCTATTATTTTTGTTTTACCAATATAATTTTCTTGTTGATTTAAATCATCTTCTATTGAACCAGTTTCATCAGAAAGACCTTCATCAACAATACCGGAATCATGAAATTGATGTTTATTCATAACTAACGAATATTCAGAATGTTGTGGATAATAGACTATAAATATATTTGAAAAGAAATTACTTATTTAACAATAACACCAAAAAAAAAACAAAAAGAAAGCTGCGATTGTTGTCTAACAAATTACGTCAAATGAATTCACTTACGGTTATGTGGATTCATTTTTGTTTTTTTGGCTTTACACACTTAGGCAAAGATCAAAATGAATAATATATGTTTTTGCTTGTCGATATTTGAATACAAATAAACCAATTAGCAGTGCTCATAAGAGAAGAGAGAGAAAAAAAATGATCATTCGTCATTTAACAAGTTATTAGTACCAATCAGAATGAAAGAAATATGAAAATTGTGTTTTTTCTTTTTTTTGTTATTAGTCAAATTAAAATTCGTTCTAGAGATTAATTAATGAAAATGAGATAAACTCGTTTTATTGATGAGCTTATTTGTTAATAGAAAAAAAAAAAAAATGATATTAAATTTCTTCCTAAATGTCAAGAAAATCTTTTTGTTTATATTCTAATTGAATATGTATCGCAGTTAACAATTCGAGAATAACACCTAAAGTTGTAAACTTATCATTATTTACTATACAATTGTCAATTGAATAATAACAATTTTTTTTTTCTCAAAGAGACATGTATTATTAATGGAATTGTAAGAATAATAAAAAAAATTTCCTTTTTTTCTAGTGATCGACTTATAACACTCATCTTCAATCTTTGTTTTATATATAGATTTACATTTATCAATATTGAAATATCTTATTAAAATTGAAGAAAAATAAGCTCAGTTCAAAAGATAAAAGATCTTAAAAATGAGATTGAAAATGATAAAAAAATAGTATCAAATCGATATTTTTCTAAAGCTAAAAAAAGATGAAAAATTTCCTCCATTCAGTAGCATGAAATAAACAATTAATAATTCATGTGAAAATGTCCAACTGCTATGAATTGACCTATGAAAATTTTTTAATCTTTATTAACAATAATACCGAACATATTCATATTGTCAGAACCTATGTCACTGTGCACTTGAATCGTTTAGTAGGACTTTCTGATGGAATGCAAAAACAATATTTTACTTCAACCAGGGAGACAATCAAATGTAGAGCCCATCGAGTCCTACTCGGAAAATTTTATCAACCGGGTTCGAGTTCAACAAACTTTAATCACTCGAGTCCGGGTCCAATAATTCCTAGACCCAATGGGCTTTAATCAAATGGATATGAATTTGCCGGGCGAGAAGTTTTTTACTTGGAAATTGTATAACAGATATTGAATATAAATGTCTCACCGTTGACATTGAAAAATATTAGTATAATGTTTATTTCTTCTATTAGAATGAAAATTTGTCTGCTGAAGAAATATACTTATCATATTGGGAGAGAACAGCTAAGACTTTAAATAATATTATCAACAAAAATTATTGTGAAAATAACTTGAGCAGAATAAAATCAATTTGTATATCTTATATATCAGTCGTCAATGCATGATGAGTACTGAGAAGACGGAATGACTTCAATTGGTGCCGGCCGTTTGAACTCATATTGGGCCTAGAATTGAGTTTATTTGAAAATTTAATAATTCAACGAAGAAATATTCTTTTTGACTGAAACTTTCAGGATATTCTAAGAGACAATGTGCATATCTATGGGTAAAAATTTCGCATTAAAACTCCATTATTTAGGTTTTTCGGGAAGTACCTAAATTGAGTCGAAAGCCCAGCAAATCGGTCATGACTCGGAGCCAAAGGCCCATGGAATAGAGACCTGCGGAGTCAGATTTTTTATTTCGAAATCCGACTCCAACTCCATAAAACTCTGAACATGTATAAATCGATAAACAAGCAAAGGAATACAAGAAAGTCAAAGAATCATTAAAAGATTAATTTTGAATTTCTTTGTTATTTGTTGTGTAGTGAAAATAAAAAAAAAAATAACAACTAGGAAGTATTCAACATATATTATGTCCAAATAATAGAATTCTGCATGGAGTCGTCGTCGGAGTCGACTTCATGCAGGACTACTGTATCAAACAATCGATAATTGATGATGACGAAAATTATTATACTTTGGATGATACTGAAATATTTTTTGATTAATGGTGTCATGTTTTTATGAGATTAATCTTTTGAATATTATAGCTAAAAGGTGACTCTTTTTTTTTTCTTCTGAAATTCATTCTTAGTATATGTAGTAAGTGCTATCTTTCGCTTTTTTTGTTTGTTAATATGGAAAATAAAGTTATTGTAGTATTAAATAGCAAAAGTTCAATATAGGTCGTTGTAATTTCGTTTTGCTGGCTCCGACTCCATTGGAGTTGGAATTGGATTTCCTCGCAGGTCTCTACCATGGAGATGAACCTTTTTATGCTTTTACTATTCTCAGTGAGACTTGCCTGCAGGTCTAATATAAGTTCAAACAGCGAATATCAGTTATGGTAGTTCCCTTGTTAATGGTGACCCTAAACAGCCAATATTGGGTGTAGAATGTCGTGACTTTTTGCAAAGGAAAAATATCTTTCTTCTAGAAGAATGTAAAAAAGAAAATATTAGTTCAAATCAAATAATTATCATGAAAAAACATAATTCTGAACTATTTGTTTCGATAGATGAATAAAAGATTCTATTTATCCATATATATTTATATTTTTGATATAATTGTTTAAGAAAATATTATTTTAAATATAGTTAATATTTTCTTATCATTTTATTTTATTTCAAAATCAAGTTTAAATAATTCAAGCCAAAATCGTTTTGGATAAAATACACCAAATTTTGTCATACATCGTTCTATACTTAATAATCGTTTAAATATATAATGACATTTTTTTTGTTGTGATTTTCTCCTGAAAAAAATAAAAACAAGAAATAAAAATATAATGTTTCAATAACTTACTGTAATTCATTCAATATTAATTCAATTGAAATAGATTCTAGATATAATATTTATTCTCATTGATATTCTATTATATAAATAGTTACCTTTTTTTATAGCTATTAAAGAATCATAATCAGAGTTGGTAATAGTTGACCTTTACAGAATGAATAAAATACATAAATTATATAAGTACATAATTAATAAAAAAAAATGCACTCACATTGTTACTTCATACATGTTTCTGCATAAGTGTTAAAAATTAGTAGTTTTTACATTGCTTCTGTGCTCATTGTTTGTTTGTCTTAAAAATCTATTATTTAAACTACTTCAGTAAACAATAATTATCCAGACATCGTTTCTTTTACTCATACAAATTCTTTTTTTTTTTTATTTCATCAAGGTTTTTTTGACAAAAAATCGTTAGAAGAAATTCAATCTGTCGAAGTAAACTTTACAATCAAATATTTATGATAAATAAAAATAAAACTCATCATTAAAAATTTGAACTGCAAACACAATAAAGAATTGTTGGAAAAAAGGATATTTCTTGATGGCAAATTATTCAATAAATATGAAAAATTTTATTTCTTACCATTATATGGTTGTTCAATGTTAATATATTCAGATTAAGCTAACTTCATAAGTTCATTTCGAATTCTCTATTCTCTAATTTAGATAGTATTCATCAAACAGTTGAGTATCAAGCTGTTCATTAAGTACTACCCCTCAAAAATCGATTTTGAGCCAGGTATATTCAAATCACATGAAGTTTTCAGAATATGTTGAAGCTGTAATGAAGAGAATATAGAAAATTTTTCAGCTCTATATCACGATGTTTTCAGAAGATATTCAACAAGCAAGGCTTACAAATGGCTTATTTGGCAACCCAAAAAATCGCTGTAGGCTCATTCTATAGAATTAATTTTCGCTTGAAAGAATATGTTAGGATGCAGGGTACGATGGCACTTTTTTCAAAAGTTATTCTTTTTTAAGGGGAGAAAAGGGATAAAAAGTGCAATGCCTCGAACAACTCTTTAAAAATGACGTTCTCATTATAAAAGTACTCTTTTTTATGTAAAAGTAACAAAGCTTAATTCAAAAAAAAGGGACTCTGTCATGTCTTGCGTCTTGACATGCTCTTTCAAATAAAAAAAAAACAAATATATAAAATAAAGACCCATAGAAAGTTCTGGGTTGTACGATCAAAAAAGCATAAACAGAGAAAAAAACTCAAAAAAGCTTTTTCGTTTTTTTCTGAAAGAAAACCGTATTTTTCGAAAAGAAAATGGCAGAAATCATCTAAAATTTTTGAAAAAAACGAAAATACTAATTAAAAAATGATGTCATTCATGAAAGATCAGATCTCGAGTTATCTTCCCATGTGTTTATATCTCAATTTTCATTTTTTTGACGAAAATTGACGTTTTTGAGCAGAACTTTACAGAAAGTCGTTTATCACTATTTCATTGTCAGATCTTTTTCGAAGTATAAGTAAGACAAGAAAAAAACCAACAGCATTTAGCAATATTTTTTTCACATGAAAACTTTGCAATTGTTTCTTTTCTTAGTTTAGTTCTTAGTTCATATTATGATGAGATCCCTTTATTTGATCTATGAGATAATCGAGATATTTATAGTCCTCTAATGAGTAAGAAACAAAACTATATAGTTGCTTGATCATATAGTAATTTTCTTGAAATTTTGCAAATGAATACTGGAATAATTGTTAGTAGAAGAAAAAGTTAGGCTTCTATTCAGTAAAACAAAAATAGATACATCGATCAATGTATTGGTATTATTAAACTCTATCAATGTTCAATATTGTGATATTTTAAGTGCTTTCCTAATATCGACTGGCTATTCACTATTCTATAATAATAAAAGAAAAACTAATAGTGGCTTTTCTATGTTTTTGATAAAACTAATCTTAAACCTCATAATTTCTATTCATCTGTTGAGCATTTCTACTATAAGTCTCTTTTTGTATGTAAGATGTTTATTAGAATAACACAAAAACTAAAAATATCAGTTGGAACAATTGCATTGTTGTCTGATATAATAATCCTTTTCAGAAGTTTGAGAATTTTCGGTTTTGCGACGTTGAAAATGTTAACAAAACGTCAACATATCGTGACTGCATTTTAAAATCGATTAGTAAAAGTAAAAACTAATTTTTTGAATTTGCGTTTTTCATTATAGCAACAGCTGTTTAGATTGAAGTGTGTATGTTTCCCATAGTAGTTCAGTCGATTTGAAAGCATATTTGAGTAAGAAATTGAAACAAATCGATTTTAACATAAAGTTTCATGGCTCTTCAATTCTTTCGTTTAGATATTAGCGTACAAAGATTTAACGTCAAAGCTGAGTATAGTTTGGTTTGAGCTTTACTTGAAAACCGGATCTTTTCACAAATTCGAAGAAGTCTTTGCATACAAAGATAAGTGTTCAGTTTATCTATCGCATTGAGACGAATAATATAGATATTTAATTTTTATCATGGAAATAGACCATTCGTGTTAAAGATTACCGTAGTTATTATATTTAGTCTTATCGAGATCCATAAAATCTTATTTCATATAATTCATATAGATATTTATATGTTAATTATCTTTTTTGTATGTGATTATTAATAATAACATTGCTTCGAATTACATAAATTCCGTTCAAAGTAAAGTTCTTTTTTTCTGCTGGACCGTATTTTTTCTTTCTCCTACATATCAAAAAAAGAGTATTTCATTCATCATAAAATCAGTATTTTATCTTACCAAAAGGAGTTCAGTATATCCATGGCTGAAATATCAACAAAATGTTGTTAGTTAAAGGTTTTAAAAGTGTATGGACAACATTCACATAAGCCGTAGATTGAAGTTATATCGAGTTTTTACTTTTCATTAAAGAAAGTTGGTTATTGTTAATTCTATATTTAATTTCGACCAACATTCTTGCAATCTTTTGAATGAGTCAGAATATCGGATAAAGCATAATGTAGTAGTTTTGTAGCAATGAAGAACTGACTTGGTTCAATCAATTCACAATTAATTTTTAGATGCCGTTTTTTATTGTATTCACTACTGAATTACTTTGTAAGTTTTTATAGGAGATTGATATTGGTATTACGATGTCATTGGAACTAAACGCAAGCAATGATTTTTGAATGATAATGGATGTTCTCCAGAAACAAAAAGTGATAAAAATTATTCTTTCAGTCATATCTGGTTATAAGTGATGGATTAAACACTGTTGTATAACATTTTGGTTGCATTCTAAATCTTTTTGACTCATCCTGTAAAACATTCGTATATTTGTGGATGATAGAAAGTCACATTTCGATATTTCAAACAAATGATCAGAAATAAGAGACTAGAAGATATAGGAGAGGTAACGAACGATGTTGGTAACTACATAGCTGTTATAAAAATATTCTGCTATTAATATTGTTGAATAGGAGGATGGATTTATCGATTTTATTCAATGAATCCCTTTCCATACAATACGGTAGAGACGAAGAGTTGTTACCCCATGATGGTAACTAAGTAAGCATTATTTAATTATACAATAATTATAATTTTCTTTAACTTGAGGTCGACGTTATAATCTCATCGGTTAGTAAGAATTGTTTTAAGAAGGATTGGAAGATTCATTTTGCAAGTTTTACATTCACATGCTATTTCCACGATGTGTTTCGTTCTATATAATTACGGACTTATTTATATTTTAGTCGTTGTCCTCTTCTGTTTCTTCTCTGTGTTATTTAAGTTGCTGTCACTACTTTGTTCGTCTGTGTTACACCCTGGAATTATTTATTCTTGTTCTCTCTACATTATTTCTTCTAATCGTTCTTCGATTTTCATGTCGTCATATATACATATAATCACATTTCCTCTCAACAGTTATTTAGACAACCAAGTAGTCATTTGCGTCTCAACTGTTTGATCTCGCCTCTTTTTTTTCCTCGTTTCCTTTGTGTTCTCTCATATATGTGATTCAACCAGTAAATGATTGACTTATTTAAGACTAGTGTTATACTTTTTTCCTCATTATGACTTCCTAAAGCATTACACTAAAAGATAACTTATACGAAAGTTATACGTTGAGATGAATGCTAGAGATTCAAAAATTATTTATTATATTCCATTATGACCAGAGCCCGAAGCGAAGAGGTTTTCTGGATCTCTGTCTCACCTCTTTTCCAGAAAACTTTTTCTGTCTCGTCCCGCGCTACTTATAAAAAAATGTTCCTGTTTTACCCTAAAGAAAACATTTCCCTTAAGTCAGACTGTTATTTTGATTAGATGCTTCGTTTCATATTCGAGCATTGATGGATATGTGTGAAGAAAAAGAATAATGAGGAAAAGCAAGCACAATTTTTGTCAAGGAAAAATAAGATAATCTCTAATACTAGGAACCTTTTTGACACTATACAGATCATAAAAAATCACTTACTCAAATCTTTGTCATAAAAGATTTGCCTCCAATTGTAGAATTCTAAAATGGATTTAATATTTGATTTGTAGCGTCGTAGATTCAGAAAAAACGAGCCTGATTTCAATATGTAATGGGTGATCCTATCACTAGCAAGACACTTTTGTTTTCTTTTTTAAAAATTACTAGCTTATTCCAAAAAGTTTCGTTCTAAGCTCAATAGACATGGCATTCTTTGTTGTGCAAGACTCCTGACTTTATATTTTGGGTAAGTTTTTCTGGTCGGCGGAAAATTGAAAATACTAACAGATACTCAATTGTTTAACGACGATCTTGAATACTTTCGATGAGTATTGATTGATTTGTGTAAGTTTGTGTGCCATCAAGTTCTATTCCAGATTGAAAGTATTTGGCATCAATAAATAGAAAATTTTATGCTCAACATCGCTGACATCTTCCCAAAACTCATGATGTTGTTGTTCAGAATTTAAAAAATTGGAATTAATATCTAGGAGTATCATTTAGATGTGCTCTCGATAGAACTCTTGTGAGATCTTTTTATGAATCCTGTTACATATCTTGTCATCAAACGGAAGGAATTAAACTGGAAGCAAGTATCTGATGAGGGTAAGGACTGGCTCCTCAAAACTATGGTTCTCTTTTCGTACATGTAAAATATATTATATGCTATCAATAGATTACTCCAGTGGTTTAATTTATCAACAATAATTAGATGCAACTTTGAGCTTAATGTTTTATTAATTCTTTCATTCTGTTTTTTTTTCTTTTCTATTACTAATATAAATGAGAAACCAATAGGAAAAGCTTCCTAGGTAATTCCATTTTTTTTTATTGTTAACATAAATGAAAGACTATATTTAGCGTTGCAAATGCTATTCATACATATCAAAAAATTAAATAAAAGCTTTTTTTCTATTAAAAAAATCGTGTGAATGTCACCCATAGAAGTTAACTAAACAGGTTACTTCTTCACTTTGATATGATTCAGCAAAAGATAATTGTCAAGTATATGAATAAACATATGATAAGAAAAAATCTCTATATCATTTTAAAACTATTTGATTGTAAAATAAGGTTAGATTATACAAAGTTTTTTTTTCATTGTTGTAAATAAAAACACAAAAAAAAACAAATGTTAACTAATGTTTACTTCTGCTCGTTAGCAAATAAATATGCACACATAATAGAAATCTAAAATTTGTTATTGGAATGAGCACCTTAAGCAGACAACAATATTTATCATGCAAAAAAAAACAAGCGAGATTATCATTAGAGATAATTGTTAGAAAAATAAAGTGGATAAAAAGATCTATTTGATTTTTTTTCTTTTTGTATAAATGGACGGTGTTAATACACGAGCAAAATTGTCCTAAAAAAGCTAAATTATGGTTTTATAGACGACAGAGACAAAGAATAATTGGTATAACAGCAGCTAATGCTATTAATAATGGTATTAATGAACTTGATTGATCCTCAAGATATGGATCAATAACTTTTGGTCCACTTTTTTTGACATTACGTTTTACGTTTGTTGGTTTAGCAGGTACTTCATCATCTTCTTCAACATCTAATGGTTCATCAGGAAATTCCATTTCAGGTATTGGTAGTAATTTAGGAATTTCTAAAATTAACAAAACGAATTACAAAAAAAAAAACAAATAGATTTTTTTTTTCTTCTCATCAACACATACGATCAATTGAACCTCGCCAAATAATAAGTGCATTAAGTTTTGGATTATCTCGATGATCAATACGTTGAAATGTAACTTTTAATTGTCCTGAATACGATGAACTACGACCATTAACAACAAGACGACCATTTTTTATTTGAAATAGAATATATTCATCATGTGCTGTTGCACGACCAGCTTTAGAAAATATATCTAATTCATCAATAATTGAATGTTCATCGTTAAGAATAATTTGAAATACCTAATTGAAAACAAAAAAAAAAAAAAAACTTATTTTATTAATTAACTTAATATCAATATGTAAACCTTCATATTTGGTCCATTAAACCAAACTTCAGCAAATTTCATCCAAATTACATAATCACCATCATCAATTAAATCAATTTCATATGAAAATTTTTGTAAATCATAACGTTCAGTTTGATAAAGTATCATATCTTCTTTTGATACTCGATTTATATTTAAATTACGTCCATAATCTGAACTTATACCTAATTTTAAATAATCTTTACGATATCTTATACCTAAATAAAAATCAATAAATTTTAAATTTAATTTATTTCTTTTATTATACCATTAATATCTGTATGCGCATCTCCACCACAATTAACAGCAAAAATAACATTATCCATAATATTAGCTGCATAATATTGTTGAATAATACACGTTAAATAAATGTATAACCATAAAAATTTCATTTGAAAAACAGTGTTCGTCATCTGTAACTAATCAATGATTATTCTTGAAAAGAGAACGAATAATAAGAATGTGTTGCATTATATTAATGGTTCCTTTACAGAACCAATAAAAAATCTAATAGAAAACATTCCGATGTCGCTTTCATAAAAACATATTATAGTTTTTCTTTGAAGTGTTGTTAATAGTAACACACAATTTATGGTTGCTTAAGAAGAACGTTTTTCTTTCTTTTTTTTTTTTTTCTTAAGAAAATTCAAGTAAAAGAACTCTCTCGACAGAAGAATGAGAATAAACGAGAGAGAAAGAAAAAAAAAAACTAAGATGACACGTAAAATATTTTCTAAACATTACGCTCAAGATTCGACGAAGCCCTTTAAATTTCTTTATACTTCCTAGGAAAAAAAAGAATATATTCGTTAAATAATGAATTTATTTTTAGAAAATTTGAACTCGAAATATGTCTAACGAACACTCATCTTCCAAACGAGCTCAAGATATATTAAATGGTTTTAAATTACATTGGATGAATTTACGAGATGCTGATTCAGGTCGAGTTCTTTGGCAATCATCAGAAAATTTGTATATTTATTTCGTTTTTGTAAATATTTTCTTTTTTTTTTTTTATTATTTAATTGATTTAGATCCACACCTGGTGTTGAACATGAAGCACGTGTACCAAAACGTATTCTTAAATGTCGAGCAGTTTCACGTGAAATTAATTTTTCATCACAAGAAGAAATGCAACAATTTCGTTTAGAACAACGTGTCTATTTTAAAGGCACAGTCATTGAAGGTAAAATAAAATAAGTTATGATCTTTCTTATTATAAAACTCTTCATTCGGAGATATACATTAGTTTATAGAACTCGAAGAGAAAAACGTAGGTAATGCTGAGCTGTCCTTTTTAAGAAAAACTACGATTTGCGTAGGAAAAAATTGAAAATTTTCAAAAAAATAAAACATTAGTGTTCACAGTTTTAGTATCGAATCTTCATTAATTACAGACACATATCCAACTGCCTGTGTTTCAATAGATTAATGTTGCATGTATCGACAGTTCGAATGCCTCCTATGAAGACTTCTTTTAATAAAGTGAAGAAAGTCTTGATAGGTATCTCACAATAAAGTAGACAGCAGACGTTTAATCGAGCCGATCTGTCGCTAGTTCATGAAAGACTACGAACCTCTTCAGTAGGGAACTGCAGGTTCTTTCAAATCCGTATCCGGGTCCAAGTCGGACCCGCAGCTTCCTACTCTTCAGCTTATCTAATCTTTCTATCTGTTTGGCCTACTTATCGCAGCTTGTGTATTGTTTTGTTTTTTACATACTTATATTCTAATGATATTTGAATGGAAGCAAAAAAGTGTCATGAGAATCGAAATGAAATGATCAGACGAAAAATTTTATTTGTACAAAAAAAATGACAAATACGAAAATTTAATATTTAAAAACTAGTCGGTTATTATATATAACGAATTAATGAAATCAATTAGAGGACTGCAGGTGGTTTCGAGCCCAACCGGATCCCAACTCAGATCTAAAGTTTTGTTTTTTCGTCGGGTCCAGGTCCAACGTTTTATTTTTTGTCTGATCTGGTCACACATTTACATAGACCTCTGCTTTTCGGATGAAAAATTCAGCAACAAGATATAACTGTACATTGAGTTTTTTCTCTGAGAGTAGCGAATAAATAGCTAAAATCTTGATCATTTATTTGTTCATGTACATGAAGAGTGTCAGATATTGATGGGAAAGACCTCGAGTTTGAATCCAGGCCTGAGTTCGGATCCGGATCCACAAAAATGTGGACCCGCATTTTCCTAAAATCAATTTCTTCGAATGAATTCTATCAAATCTGAGACACTTTTGGTCTTTCAAAGAGCAGTTCAGTGATACATGTTAGATTGCAAATGAAGAGAATTTTGTATTCTCATTATAGTGAAGAAAATTTTGAACTGATCTTATGAAATTCAAGGTTGTATAAATAAGTTTATGTAATTGAGATTTTTGATTTGGAATGAAAATTTTTTTAAATAGTACAATATTTATATGTATTAGTTAGTTTTAAAATATAATTGAATAATTTCTTAGATGATTTTATTAGAAACTGTTTTGTTTTTTTTTTGAATTCTTATTTCTAAATCGATTAATTACTTTCAGTAGATTGTTCTGTCAACATTTAATTATATATCATTTCGTTTTTATAATTTAGAATGGTCATTTGCATTCGGTTTTGTAATACCTGGCTCAACAAATACTTGGCAATCACTAATTGAAGCTGCACCAGAAAGTCAAATGATACCGTCGAATTTGTTAAAGTAAAAAAGAATAAAAAAAAAAAATTTTTCAAAATTTTATTTTTTTTCTTTCTTTTAGTGGAAATGTAGTTATTGAAACAAAATTTTTCGATGGTGATCTTGAAGTATCGACATCTCGTGTTCGTCTACTCTATATATAAAAATTTTTATCAATGTCAAACATTTTTTTTTTTTCTTTTGTCTCAAAAAAACATTGCGCAAAACTGTTTGTTAGTAGTGAGATGTGTATTCATTTTTTTTTTTTTTTCTAATATTTAATGTTATTGTAACGTGATTTAAACAAAGAAATCCTTGTGTCAGTGAATTATGTTTACATTGTATGTCATTGTAATTATATATACACATCATTGATTGTGTGAATGTGTGCAAAAAAGAAAACCTTTTTTTTTTTTTTTTTAAACCTGATGAGAATATTTTGAGAAAACAAAAAATCGAGGTATGACTTTGTTTTTTTTTCTTTCTTTCTTTCGTTGTTGTTTTGTTGCGAATTTTCTTTTCTTTCTTATTTGTTATGTGAAAGTTTGCTTTTGTTGTTGTGAATATATGTATGTATGTATTTTAGATATAATGAAAAAATGTTATATTACTATCTTGAAAAGAAAAGTGAGAATTTAAAAATATTTCTTAATATGAAATATATTGAAAATAAAAAAAAAAAAATATTAATTATAGATTTAAAGAATGAAATTGAGATAAAAATTGAAAATGATTTGAAATGTTTAAAAACAATAAGTACTTTGTTGTTTTGTTTTGTGTAACTTATATAGGAGAGATTTAGATGAATACGAAATTTTTGAAACAGACTTGATTTAAATAGGAAACAAAATTTCCTTCTGACAATGAGAATTATTGTTGAAGACTACAAATTTATTCATATAAATAAGTGCTTATCTTATATAATTATTTTCTATAAAATGAAGAAAAATAAGATAACTACAAGTTAAAGAATTAAAAATTCAGATGAAGTCGGTACTTATTAAATATTCTATGTTGAAATACTATATTCACTGATTGTTTAAGATTATCAACTTCTAAAATAATTATTCATTTTTTTGTAGAGACCAAAGATTTCTATGGTGATTTTCGATCTCATTTCCGTGTTAATATGCATGGAAAATTCCATTGGATGATTGACTTTGTCTATTAGAATTAGATCTTATTAAGTAAAAAAAAACAAAAACACACACATCAGTCTTCTCGAGATTATCCAATGATTTTATACTAAAGTAAATAATGCGAAAAATTCAAGAATGAAAAGAAAAAGGGTATTTATAATCAATAGGAAATATCTAAAGAATAAACTCTGAAAGACTTCCGGATTGATTATATACTACTATCTCGAAGTGATCTTCTTCTTCTTCCATAAATAGTTAATCTGATTGGAAAAACTCAATAATATATAAACAATTTCGAGAAAAATCTTATTTTTATCATAATCTGAAAGAAAAAACATAAATTAATTTTTTTTTTTTTGTTCAAGTTAATTATTGTTCATTTGATGACGTTGCTGCCACTGTTGACAGTAACGTAAATGATGTTTTTTTATTTTGTCGGTTTGTTCTCAAACTATTTTGACGTTGTTGTTGTTGTTGATGATGATGATGACGACGTTTTCGTTGATTTTTCCATATTTCAGGAAATGCATATATACTTAAAAATGATGAAAAACAACAAGGAACATATGTAAATGCATTAGCTATTTGTATATACCATGGTAAATTTATCGTTGGCCAAAACATATATAGAGAATTAATATTTGTTAATACATATGGTAAAAGACCAATTAAATAAATAAATGAAAATAATATCATTTGACGTGTTAAACGTTTACAACGACGCCATCGTTTTGAATTTGAACGAAATAAACGAAGACGTAAACGAATTATACGTATTAATAAAAAAAATGTTGTTGTTATTGTTATTAATAATGGAAATAATAAACTTAATAAAGTATCAATTAAAAAAATAAATTTTTCTTGTTCAAAACATGGACGACATTCATATTTTTCTAAAATAATTTTATCATATTTACATGTTAATATAAGAATTGAATACCATGTTAATGGAAAACCTAATGCAAATATACTTGGTATAAGTTTAAATGTTAATGTTGATTGAAGTTTTTTAATATGCATTGGACCAAATATAAGTATATGACGTTGTATAGATGCCCAACATACCAAAAGACCAAGACAAACAATTGATGAATAATCAATAATTAACCATAATTTACAAATAATTAAAGATAATGGAAAATATAAATTAAAATATAATTCAATTAAAAAGAATGGTATACATGTACATGTTGTTAATAAACTAACATGTAATATACAACGAAATACAAAAACACTTAATTTTTTATTTCCATGTAGACGATATATAGCAAATAAATTGATGAATACACTTGGAATACTTACACATATAAGTATAATAAAAAGAATTTTATTTAAAATTAAATTTAAATTTTCATCATAATTTATTCGTGTTGAATTTTCAATATCGATTGAAAAAGTTTTATTTTTTCTATAATAACCAATCATGCTTTTATAAAAGCTTAATTATGTTGTGTTTCACGTTCTTTCTTATCCACGTAAATTTTCTCTCTAAAAGAAAAAAAAATCCAGATAGTCTGTTTCTTCTTCTCTATTATATATTTTTATTTCACACGTCATCTCATATTCATTGTCAATATTATTACGACAACAAAAACATCCGAATAATAAATAAACGATTAGAATGCTTACAGCTCAGCAGGTACATATACTGAAATATTTATAAATGATGAATATTGTTAGTATAAGAAAATATATATTTAAATTTGACTGAAAATTGAGAATGAATGTTGGAATTATGATTACTTTGCCTTATGTACTCATTTATTAAGTACATATTGATCGAAATAATGTCCAGATGTGTTGTAACTATAATTACTATGAATATTTTACTGAGAACTATTTTTTTGCTTTTGTATACAAAATATTTACTTCGATAATGATTATTCGTTTGACTTGGTTAAATTTAATTGCCAGCAATGGTTTTAGTAGAATTCATATAAAAAGAAAAATGATTTTTCCAAAGGAGTAAATAAGGTATTTGATTGATACTCGTTATTCGACTAGTTTGTTTTTCATTTATTTTTGTAAATCATTTTAACAAAAAATAATCTTAATCTTTTTTATGTTTGTTAATAAAATATAGAATAATATAAAGAAATTTGAAAGTCGATCGAGATTTTAACTTTTGTTTTTAACGATCTTATAAATAATAAACTCTATTGAAATAGTCAAAAATTATTTCGTTTTTTTTTTGAATTTGTTATTTTATCGATTAATTGTTCAAAATTTTTCTTTATCTTCGAATTCATTCACAAAAATCTTAGACTAGAAGCAATAACTGTTAGCATCTTCGGATAACAATTGCCATGGATTTATGATTTCACTCAATCTATATTCATGTCTATGGTTGGTTTATAAATATTACAAAATACTAAAATTACAATTTCTATTTCAATTATCAAAATTATTCTGAAAAGACAATTATATTTTATTCTATTCTTTTTTTCTAAACATTGATCAATCGTGAAATCTAAAGGTTGATTCAATTCTAAATAAAGCGTAACATTAGTATGAAAAAGAAGAAATAACATTCTTATGAATCATCATCATGTTTAATTATTAAAAGGAAAATTTTTGTTTTTTTTTGAAATACAAATGGAATTAAACATAAAAGGCAAAATGGAAAATTAATAATTAAAGTCTTACAATTAAAATCTAAAACAAAATGTTTTCTTACATTTTACTTATACGAACAAAAATCATTTTTTTTCTTTCATTAATGCAAAATATAAACTGATACAATTAACGATGCTACATACATAACATAGTTTTATCAATAATTTCTTCATCAAAATGTATATTACGTATCTGCTATTTTCTTGAGTGACGTATCAAACAGCAGGCATGTCATTGACAGCAGCATATATGTTCTGTGTATTATACTTTTGCTTCATACAACTACTATTGGAAGCAATAATTATAATTATATTTTTTAATTAAAAATCGAATTGTACATAGATTTTTAAAGTCAAATATGATTGTGATGATATAATCATCAAATAAAATAGATAGCCTATAAGGAGAGATGTGAGAGAATTAAGTTTATTTGTATCGATCCTAGTGAAAAAAGACACTATCAGAATTTATATGTATCACATCTAACAATGGAAAGTTTTAGGTATTTACAATACATGTAAGATGCTCAACCCTATCGGATTTGGTTATCTATCTTGAATCAGGATACAACACATATGGTTTTGTTGAGCAACTTGCGGAGAATCGAATGATATATTAGAAGTCAAGTTTATATGGAAATTTTGATGTGCCGAAGGTTCATATACTGATTATAATCCTTGAGAAATATATATGGTACTCATAAATAGAGGTGTAAGCCGTCGTCGCCGATAGCCGCTGCCGCCGAAAGTCAAAAAAAAAATGTCAAAGATTCTAAACCGTCGCCACTGTTGCACAAAAAATATACTCAGGTTTCGCATATTATGGATATTCAGGATCAGTTTTCATGAATGTTTTTACCAAAAAAAAGCAAAAAAAATCTGTTTTTTTTGTGATTTAGAATTGATTGAAATCTGTCTTTAAACCTAAAAACCAATTTTAAATCGACTCAATCAAGAAATGACTGATTTTAATGTATTTTATCAGTATTGTTTTTGTATAAGTATTGTTTGATATAGTAGTCCACAGTATGACATGTGTATCAAAGAGTTCTAGCGTTGTATTTACCATTTTCTGAGCTGAGAAATCTAAGGAACTATTCAAAAATTTGAGTTTTGGAACAAAGACTCGGGAAAACACATTTTTTACCTTTTCCATTGTAAAATCTCTCGAAAACAATGGATCATGGAAAATCTTGAGCTGTCGCCGACTAGCTAAACCTTTTCAGCCATCACCGCCGTCGATCAACTCATCGACTTACATGCTCTTCAATTTTCTATAATCAATAGTTTTTATCTTTGCTTTCATCATACATAAAAACAATCACTTTTGTTAGATTTAGATCGTTTCTTGACTATATGATATTTCAGTATATTCAATTCTGCGTCATAGAGCAAATGACTATCAATGTGAAACTTTCTCAAAAAGTACAAACTATCGAGTTCTACACAAAATATCTTTTGAAAGAACAAGGATTCATTGTCAGCTTGGCTGATTGTTCCGTAGAATAGCTTATTCGTTTATATGCTGATGGCTTTGTATATTGACGATATTTTAGCAATACTCAATAGTCCTATTAAAATTTTTATGTACTAATTATCAGCGAGTGGTGGACATTTCGTACAAAATCATTCCGAACTCCTGCCATGTGTTCGGAAATGATTTTTATTCTAGACAACGTTCATTATGAACACCCTGTTCTTTTTATATTTTTGATTGCTTTTTGCATTCCGGACTCCCGTATACATAATTACGAACCTCCTGTCTTTTTTCCTTATGTTCGCAGATCGTAACGAACTTTGCCACCGGGGAGATCGTAATGAAAAGTTGATGCAAAATTTCCCTTTTCCTTTATCAGCACAGCATCCATGATGAACGGATATAATAACTTCTTTATAAGGAGAAAAAAAAATTTTGACTTCCGGATTCCTAGGCGAGGATATGAAAAAAACTTATTTTTGGGATGAACTTCTAGAGTTTCATGTATAAATCAAATATGTGTACTTAGAATAAAAATAATAGACGTCCTTTCTGCATTGCATACCTCACTCCAAGAATCCGGAGGTTCAAAAAAAATGCTTTTTTCCTGTTTATAAAGAAGTTATTATATCAGTTCATCATGGCTGCTGTGCTAATAATTAGTACATCAAAATTTTAATAGGACAACTGAGTACTTCTAAAGTATTTTCAATATACCGATCCCTTCCTATTGGAAAATAGACTATTCTAGGAAACAATATTCCAAGTTGACAATTAGTCCCTGCCCTTCCGAAAAGATGTTATGTGTAGAACTCGATAGTTTGCAATTTTTTTTGAGAAAGTTTCACGTTGGTACTCACTTGCTCTGTAACACAGAATTGAACATATTGAAATATCATATAGTCAAGAAATGATCTAGACCGAGCAATAAATAGTAAACATAAATATTTATATAATTTCGTGCTATTTGAATTTTTTTTTTCTCTTATAAAACATAATAACTTCAATAAAGCGAATAAATTTCACTTGTAAAAATCAAACAAGCTAAAAATTTGAATAAAAGAATGAGATAGTGTGAAATTATTTTGTATATCTATTGATTAGACACGTTGTGTTCAATGAACAAATGTATTTTAACCTTGTCATTTTACTTTAGTGTCGCGCCTATCATTTTCTCTTTTTTATCGATAATAAATGATGTTCTTCCTCTGCATGTCTCTTTCTTTTTTTCTCTTTACTAATTTACATTTGTGAATCGAACCGTATCGAAGTCGTAACATAAACGTTGTTATCATTTATGTCTAAATGAAAATTCTTTTTTTCTTAAATTTAATTCAAAAATTTTGAATTTATATTCGAAAAAAAAAGAAACCAAACAAAAAGAGATTAATATAAAATGGTTACACGTTTTATGGAATTTGAACGTAGAACATTACTTGTACAATATATAGGTGTTCAACCATTAACATTTTATGCAACATCAGATGGTACAGATTTAGTTCAAGATATATTACGAAATCAATTAGCTCGATCAAATGCTAATATAATTGGACAAGAAGGTTCATTATCAATAAATGATTATGGAGAATTTCTTACATTTGAACCAACAGATACACAAAATCGAACATTACATTTACCTATAGAACATTTAGCTTTTTGTGGTGCTTTAAGACATATGCGTCGTGATCCATCTGATCAACGTAATCCTGATCAAATTTTACGACGTGAATTTGAAAATGTTGATTTAGCTAATCGTTATGCACAATATATTATTGGTCCACCAATATTTGTTGCTATATTTCATGGTTTTGATAATGCACTTTGTTATACATTTATAACACAAAGTGCTGATGATGCTTGTCTTTTAGTTATGAAACTTATGCGTACATTTAGACAATATGAACAACAATTAAAAGAACAAGGACAACTAAATCAAGGTTGTTGTTTACCTATGCCTATCAGTTGTGTAGAAGTACCTTCGCCTGTCGTAGTCCCACAAGGGTGCCCTTTATACGAATCACCACAAATACTTTCTCCTGGATGCATTCAACTGCCGAATACAGTAAAGAATACGTATATTCAAAATCCATGTCAAGATGATTTAATGCAAAAAATTATTTGTAATTCAAATTTACAATTTATTAATCAACCATGTCCATCATCAGCACCTGTTATCACACAGTGCGTTGATAATTTACCAATTATACCTGCACCACCACCTTCAGTAAGTTATAATTATTATATTGAATATTAAGAACAAACAAATTTTTATACATAATAGGTGTGCTATCCTTCAATCAATCCGGGACCTGTCGTTGTACGTACGAATAGTGCCTGTTGTCCTCCTCCTTCTTCTTGTTGTTCACTTGTTCCACAAAAAAAAATTGTGTGTTGTGATACATTACCTCGTAGACAATGTTGCTTACCAGTTGCTTCAACTACTTGCCTTTATAAATGATTCATTATCATCAGTTTATTGTCATTTGCTTTAAAAACTAACTCAAAAAAAATATATATATATAAATTCTTTCTAGAAATTGCTTATCAAAGCCCTTGATCATTCTTTTTATTAATAAAAAAAAAAAAGGTATTTAACCTTACCGACAAGGATTTATCATAAAATAAAATTAGTTCTTTTAATCTTTTCTTTTCGTTTTTTTTTTTTTTTTGAGAATTAGTTTTCTTCTCCTTATTTTCAGACACAACAGAATTCACCTGTTGTTTCTACTATGTTTACCAGTGGTGGTAATATAACTCAGTTAATGGGTGGTGGATCAGTACCACTATCGACACGTCCTCCTTCTCCACCTATTATCGGTATATCCGATGCTGAATTTGCTCAGAATTTATCAATGGGCAATACTCTTCCTCCACAAGTCATTCATAGGCAAAATAATCAAGAAGTAACATATAAACAAAATATCATAATACGATGGTTAAAACCACCAACACCTCCACCACCAGCACCAATTATCATTCGAGGTAAAAAATTTTTTCTTTTGTATTCTATTGTTCGATTGAACGTATGAAAATTAGTTGAATTATATATATATAGAAATTCAATGTCCACCTGAAATTGAACCACCAATTATTTGTCGACAAGTACCTCAATGTCCACCAACACCACCTCCAATTATTATCAGGTAAATATCCTTTTTTTTTCTTTATCATTGATTCAAATATATCTAATAGAGAACAACCACCACCTTGTCCACCATGTGTAGAACCTTTAATTATTGAAAATTGTCAACCACCTCCTTGTCAACCACGTCAAGGTATCGAACTTTTTTTAAAATCATATTTTCTTTTTTTATTATAATAAAATAATTTAGTTTTTGTTGAACAATGTCCACCTCCTCAACCAAAACCACAAAGAATTATCTATGAAAAATGTGTACCACAACCACAACCACGTCAAATAATAGTAAAACGTGATTTTTGTCAACCATCATTATGTAGTGTAACATCACAAAAAGTTCCATGTCAACGTATAGTTCGAGAAATAGTTCGACAACCATGTACACCAGCTCAACCAGCTCTACTTTGTACATCACAAAAAAGACAACAAATAACTCCAGGACAATCACAAATTGTTCAACAATTAGTACCTGTTTTTGCTACAAGACAGGTTAGTTTAGATATGAAAAAAAAAAAACAAACAAAATCAAGATTCTGATTATATCATCAATGTTTTGTTTTCTTAGACAACAAACTTTAAGGACAAAGACATTTAGTCATGACAATATTTTATTACTTTTCTTTCTTTATCAAAAGACAACATTGATTTCTCTATGGGTTTACAAGGTGAAAAAAACCTATGTTATTATTAATTCTATTGAGATAAAAATTATAGCACTATTCATCTACAATTAAAACAAAGAAGTACTAATTTTAGTATATACTCAATAGACATCATACTTCATTATTAACATTGACGTTACTTCCTCCGTTTTCATTCATATTTAATTTTAGGATACAATTTATCACACAATAGAGTTTTATATGATAATTGAGATTATAAAAACATGGCACAAGACTTAATGAACTTGTCTAGTTAAAACTGTATAATAAAGAAATATAAATATAATTATTTTGTCATGAAATTTGACATCATCATAAATAACTTAAAAGATAAAATAAGAAAAATGATTTTCCCTATAGAAAAGTTTAATAAAACTCTAGCATATTCTTCTGTTTGCTTGCTGTCAAACTGAATTATGTCAAAGAAAATTATGACATAAAAACAGTTTTCAAACATACAAGAATCATGACTTTCTTTTCTTATGATTTTCTTACTAAGAACTCAATGAAAATAGACTTTGGATTATAATTATAAACTATTCATATCTCTTTTGTAGCATGTTGTTCAACCAAAAGGTATTCGCATCATTCGACAAGTAATTGGACCAGCTCAACCATACACAATGAGATAAATATATATATATATATTCAGTACAAGCTTCCGTATATTTGTTCTTGAACTCAATTACTTTTGATTCCAACATTATCAACAGCTCTGACAAAAAATGTTTATGATTTCTATTTAACATATCTATGTTTTTTTTTTTGTTCTGTGTCGTTTATATTTAAAATATACCTTATTCAATTAATATGCTAATACTAAGGATGATTCTATTTTATTGATATATTTCATGATGCGTGGGTGATTTTATTAACAGAAAAAAAATGCATAAATAAATATAAAAGACAGTGTGATTGAAAATAATAAGAGAAGAAAAAGAAAATGATGAGAAATAATATAGAATTTTTTCTTTCTTTATTCTCTTTTATTAGTTTATTAACTGAAGTTAACATGCAATCTGTCTATTATATTTTCTTTTTCATCATGCATGTTTATCGATTGAAATATATATGTAAGATGATATTTCATTTACTTTTTAGAACTTCGATAGTACTATGACAAATTATATATATACACATGTATGTATGAAGTCGTACGATAGAAAAAAATCATACAATTAATTTGACTTCAATAAGCTTAAATTTATGAGAACTTTCAACTTCTTTTACTTAAGTGCTTTTCGCTATTATAAGTCACGCTTATTTACTTTTTTTTCTCTCGCTTGTTGAAGAACATTTTTTATTCGTATAGAAGCAAAAAAATAGACCTACAGTTCTAGTAAATATTAACCGAGGAAAAACAATAGTACGAACGGAAATTAATTTTGACTAAAAGTACAATACATTTTGTTAATTGTTTTTATGCTGCAATACTTTTGTTTAACACAAAATCAATATGTAACCTTCCATCAAAAAAAAAAACCATGTAGGAGTCACTATCTATTATTAGCAGCTTTTTTTTTTTTTCTAATTAGCATATCTGATTAGAGAGACAATATGTGCATCTAACACAATGAACATTCGAAGGTATGGATTATTTGTATCTGTAAGATTAATAAATAAATATTTTATTGTTTTTATTCATGAAAATAAACTTAAGATGATTTATATTAGTTTATAACAATGATATTCATTGTATTTAGAAAAAAAAACAAATTAAAAGAGTCGATCAACAATTTATGAGAAGGAGTCAAAGTTAATATATTATTAACACCTAAATATAGCATACTAAAATTAAGTAATTCATAAAAAAGAAAAATTCATTAAGATAACAATTAGTTTTCTATAATTTTGTGGGCGAGAAAAAAAAACAAACAGAAAAAGAATATCTAATTGGAAAATATAATTTAAGTTAGAAAAAAAAAAAAAAAAATAGCAAAGAATGTTATTAACATCTTCGATATTTTGTCCTCATTTTCTCATGCATCAGAATTATAATATGATGACAAAAAAACATTATAACATTTTTTCTTATGCACTCAACAGTATGACGCACAAAATGTTTTTTATGTCAATTATAATGTAGTATCTAATTTTTATTAAAAAGGTTATGCTAGATTATTAAATCAATTAGAATTAGAATTTATATAAAAATGTTCTACTTTTTTTTTTCTTTTATAATGAACTAAATAACATCATTTTCTATCGAAATATAATAAAATATCTATAATAGAATGTAATGAATTATATATATATTTTTTTTTTACAACCTTCAAATAAGAAGAAGTATATTGTTAAAATTGTGAATGACTTCATACTCTCATGAGTACAGTCTGAGATTTTTCTTTTTCAAACTTCTTTTTTCTCATCTTTGCATGTTTTTTTATCACCGATAAAAAGTATTTTAATTGATACTATCGCATGTTCATAGAAGAAATTTACGTAAATATATAAAACAAAATCATGGATCCAAATAAGATCTAATTATTCGACATTTTGTTAAGTACATTATTGATTATGTTCGGTTATTGAATGGTTAAGTAAGTTAAACAATGTATTCATAAAGAAGAATAAAGTATAGTTCTGTTATATTTCATTCTGTTCTATTTAATAAATCTTTTTTAATCTTGAATATTAGTTATATTTAATTTTTATCATATATATATATAAATTAAATTATGATATGATCTTTGTTCATCTTGAAATGAAGATTAATTTTAAGAAAATCTTCCTTGGAGATATAGAGAATAGTACTTTTTTTACTTTCGAGTTCATTTTTTTTTTTTTTTTTATTAAAAAGATTTTTAGTTGACTTGCAGGAAATTAAAACTTTTTTAAAAGGTTCATTAAATGCCAATGTCATCATTATTAAGTATCTTTACTTTCAGTAACTTGATTAAATATTATAAGATACAAAAAGAAATGAATTGTCTTATAAAAATCATAGTAGACCTTTAGAAATAAAGTAAGTATTTTCATTTTTCTTCTTGATTTTAATTATAAGATATATTCATTCTTTCTTATGATTGTTAACATCACTTAAACATACTTATACAAACGGATACTCATCGTTCTTAAGAACTAATTGCATAGTTCATTATTTTATTTTAAAGAAATTAATCTCGTAGTAGAATATTTTTCCATAATATTTATTCATTTGTATCATCAAAAGAAAAATATTCTGTTTTTTGTTTTTTCTTGTTTTTCATTTATAATCTATGGAATATCTTTAATAGATCTGCATATGAATGAGTATTGTGAACTTTTCGTTCATGAGATTGTGACAGTTATTTGAATATTTAATATCTAAGAAAGAAAAGAAACAATATAAAATGAGTGCGTGTATAAACGATGACACGAGAGAATCAGATTTCTTTTAACGTTTTCTTTTTCTTTTTTAGACAGTCTTTTGTTTTCAATGAGACTATCGTAAAAAATTAATTTCTTTTTGTTTTATCTCTCCTTAGAGTAAACTAGTATGATTGACAGACATGACAAATATTAGAAAAGCATGATTTTTACAAAAACATAGATATCGATGTACTCATTTACATGTATAAATTAGCTTTAAAAACTAAGTAAATATGAATAAGAAATGAAAGTGACAGATACTATGAATAAAATCATTGTACTTCAGTATAATTCAGAGAATTTCGATTAGTAGAAGAGACGCACAAAATCTAATTATTAGTTGAATTTACATATCGCATTGATACTCAGTGAAAAAAAAAATTGCTGTATGATTATGTTTACAAAAACTACTCATCCAATAGTATACTTAATATATTACGATATATAATACAATCTCTCTATTTAATCATTAATATCTTTCTGATTGGTTACTCAATTAAATATTCATAACATGAATTGCCTTAGTTTCAATTCTGACGGAAATGGAATTGATTTGCTTATATCTAGGATAGTTAATCAAATATATATATATATATGTGAAAAATCGAGAATATCATGCGAATAAAAAAAAAACTCTACGTTAAATTAACCTTCATACTAGATTGCAGATATCAACTAGTAGAACATAAAAGGCTATTTCGTTTTCATTCACCTAATCTGACCTTGAAAACACAGTGTGATATATAATTTACATATGTCGGATTTCCTTTTCAAACTAGAACATTTTCTCACAGATAGGATAAAATCTAGAATATAATTAGTGAGTATTCAAACTTCTATCTACAGAAATGTTAAAAAAAAAAACATTTCTCCTTTTTGACTATCTACATATAAAACAAAATAAAATCATTTAATTTACATTTTGTTAATATTTTCTATTCTAATAAAAATCATATTTCATGTTTTTTTTCTTCTACATCTCGAATACTCAGTCAGAAAACATAGTAATAGTTATGTATGAGTCTATTGAGACAGGTACATAGGTCATCTTAGGAGCATATCTCTTTTCTATGGTAGGAAATATGAATCAGTTTTAACAGAAATCATACAATATTGATAATAACAAACGTTCATTTCTATTCTTCCGTCTCGACTTTCATTTCTATGGAAATAATAGTCAATAAGGAAACAACACTTTTGTAACAGTAACCTTTATTAGTCCTTGGAACAGCGTATTAAAAGACTTATAAGTAGAGTGCATCGGGTTCAAGAATTTTCTGATCCGAACTCGGTCGATAGAATATGGGAAGAGTCGATCGGGTTGAAAAATTTCTGAACTCGAACTCGATGGACTCTACTTATAAGATTGAATTATAAAAGATACACTTACATATGACCCTAATACATTTATATATTCTATTAAAGAGGAAAAAGTATAATAAAACTAATACCCTATGTTTGTTAACAATATTTATATTCTTATTTTAGAATTAATAATTTCATTATCTATTTTATTATTCAATATTTATTTTAAAGATTTTAAAATGACAGAACATTTACGATATTTAACAACAAATACAGAAGATTCATCATATTTATTTTCATCTTATTCACCATCAATAATAATGCAATGTGAAAAACTTTTATCATTAGTTTTAAATAAAACAACAAATTTAAATGAAAAACAAATTTTACCAATTTATTTTCGACAATTATTAGCTAAACAAAATTTAACATTTCGTTTACCTAAAACAATACCTGAATGTACAATGGAATTAACACGTCTTGCTAATAGTACACATGAAATAAATACAACAATAAAAACAAATGGACAAAATTATATTATACAAGAACATTCACGTTCATTAATTATATTTATTATTCTTATTGCATTTGTTTCATTAATATCTGTTATTGGAAATTTATGTTTAGCTAAAGTTCTTTATTCAAAACGTTATCGTCTTATACAAACCGATCGAATTGTTTTATGTCTTGCAATCAGTAAGAAAAAAGAAAACAATAATGTATTTTGTTTCGATTGACATGTTTCTTTTTTTTTTTTTTATTAAAGGTGAACTTTGCTTAGTTTTGATTGATACACCAACAGAAATCTATCGATTTCTTTCATTTTCATTTACACAAGAATGGCTGTGCCGTTTTCATACATTTTTTGAAGCATTATTTTCATCATGTATTATCTTCTATCATCTTTTGGGTATGTTAAAAACATTTGAAAGAAATGAATTTATCAATAGAAGAGAAAATGTGTTTTTACTTAATATTTCATAATTATTTTTCTCAATTCATAATAATAATCTTTGTTTTTGAAATAAGTCTTGAAAATGATTTTTCATATGAGTGATTCATTAACATTTAGATTATAGTAAATTAGTAAATGATAAAAGATGATCAATACACCTAACTGTAGAGATAGATTGCCTTTAGAATTATTTTTAATTAAACATATTTGAAACTTAAACATTTTTCCTTAGGTTAAATAAAAGAAAAAAAAAACGCATTATCTTCATGTCTAATGACTACTACTATAAATTAATACCAAAAATAGATTGATGGAGTTAGTTTTCTTTTTTTGCGTATGTAGGATCATAAATTTTAATTTTACGTATTTATCAATTACTTATGTCTAAGTGTTTTTTATTTTCTAACTTAAATGAATCATCATCTAGGTAAAATATATTTCGTGTGAAAGTTCAAGATCAAATCAACTAGTCTATTGTGTATTTCTATATATCTATATATAATTTCATGAGATTCAAACAGCGGAACCATTAAAGTAATTACATCAGCAGAATAAAATATCATGAATAATCTTTGCGTGCCAATCTTATGTCAATGATCTCTCTTATACATACTCGAAATATTTTATATTCATATTGGAAATTATCTAACTTTTGTTTTTTTTTTCGGAGAAAATATCAAATATGATTCTTTTTTTTCTGTCTGATTACATAAACAAGAATGACTATTCGAAGATAGATATCGATAATATTCTTTTTAATAATTATAAAAAAAATTAAAACATTCAAGTTTATTAGATAAGTTCTTTACATAAACCGATTATAGTACATTCAGGATGGAATTATTTTTGTGGGAAAAAAAAATTATCGTAGGAAGAAAATGAGTTATGATTACGTGATGTAGATCTATGAAAATAGCATCAATACATTACCACCCACGTCGTTAATTTTTTTGTTTATCAAAACCGACAGTTGGATTCAATTTTCCGTATTATTTCGTTAATAAATTAATATTTTTCATCTTGAAAAGCCGATTCCATCTTTAAAAAAATCGACTTAATCATGCAATAGTAAATTCTGTCAGATGGCACGACATATTTTCTCATTGATAAAGTCGTGTAACAAATGATTATTTTTATAGTAAAAACTCAAACTCAAAAAATATGCAAATATAAATGATGTAATTTGTATAGACGGCTTCAGTGCATCGACAATATAGAGAGGACGTGATTTCGATCGAAATTTGTCAATTGTGATACGAAACAAAATTCAGCTGGAGAACCGTGGGTTTTCGATCGGTTTGAATGACATAGGCCGTTTGCAACAGTCGAAATAATCACCTTGGAAAATAATATTAGATGTATATCACTAATTACATACGCTATATATTTCTGATCGTCAATGCATAATTTATTTCCCACAATGAAAAAATCGAAAAAGTTAATTTTGTGATTGATAACTAAGGTGATATACTAAACACTATAAAAAATCAAAATGTTTCTCATTTCACGAATACTGATTTCTTCTCAACGTATTTCCAGTTGAAGACAAGTTCTCATTGTATTAGACTATACACTAGATCTCTGATTGTTTCCAAATATTAAACCCGCCTTATAGAATAATAATCTACTAGGTTTCTTTTCTTGTGCAATATTTATTTTTTACAATTGTAATTTCTTGTTAATAAGAACTTTTAATCTAATTATTAAGTAACATCAAATAGAAAAATACAAAAACAAAAGATCAGTACCATTCAATATCTTTCCTTTCGTCATTAGGTATATTTTCATTTTCTTCATGTCGTTTTTTTAACTGTTGTTTCAATTAAATGTCCTAACATAATTGAAACTGGATCCAAATTTGATCTTTTTCTTGATGCTTTCTTGGCCTAATGAAATTCTTTCAATAAAACTAAGTTAGTAGGCTTCTATTCTATAAGAAAGTTTATAGCCAAAATCAATGAACAATAATTATCAAAACCAAAATTTAACAATTTTCAGCTTTCTTCCTCTTGTTTTTCCTTGTAGGAAATAACACGATGATACACTTGTTCCATGTTAGCAGTTTATTAAAATTTCGAAAATAGTGATAAAAATATAGTCTTATGATCCGGGTAGAAGATCTCATAGCACATCTTTCGAAAAAAAAGATCGACGTTTTATCACATTCCTGAACAGAATTACATACAAAACAAAATAAAACACCGTCGCAAAACTTTTGTCACATCCGATATATCTTGAGTTCAACAACAATCATCGACTATCCATCCTGGAAAGGTTAATAAGACCTTCGTAGGTGGAAAAAATAAGGATGAAAATCATATACTCTCGTTCATGACTTTGACGACTATAATAAAAATAAGAAAATTAGAGACTACATGGATTGTAATGTAGCATAAGAAGGTCTCATCAATTTACTGACCTGAATAATAAAAAAATATTTCTACTCATGTAAAGCTTTGTACAACAAATTTTTGTTTTCAAGACTTAAAAAATTCTTTTCAAGTTTACAAAAACTACTTCATAGTTATTTAAACAATTCCTAATCGGTATAAATTAGAACGAACGAATAAATGTGACAATATAAAATACATGAGCTATTTCAGGAAAAAACGAAAACATACTTCCCTTTCATTTGATTTTGATTTTTTACAAGGATAATTTTTCTGAACAAATTCTTTTAGCATAGACATATATAAAAATATTGGTGAAATTTTCAGCAAGATCCGACTCTGAAAAATTTGATTGCCTAAAGATCCTGTCAAGTCCTGAAATGACTTAGTATCATCTAAAGATTTCTAGAAAGAATTTGTACCGTTTGGAATTGGCTTTGAACTTCTCATTCGTTTATAAGAGCATTTTTTCTTTTATATATTGATACTTCGTCATAATGCTAACGAAAAGTGAATTGAATTTTTTTGAAAAACATATGTATGTTTAGAAAAAACTTTGTATAGAAATTTTGTAGCCTCCGAAGTTGTCTACAGAATGTACTATTTAGGTTTTACAAATGCTGCCTCACAAGCTTTAGGAAAGCTTATTAGTCCGAGATACAAGTGTTCTAATTTTTTGAAGTCATATCTCTAATAAATGATTTCAGAGATGGAACTGTACCCGGTACGAATTTTAGACCATCCGGATCTGAAAATTTTGTTTCGGCCAGGTCCAGGTCCAAAAGTTCCTGATTCTGATGAGCTCTATCGGTCGATCTGACCATTTCAAATTGGTACCGGTATCGATTGTCAAAAATTCAGACTGGTTCCATCTCTGAATGATTTTGTCTATATATATCGCGAAAGATATTTTAATAGACTAACTTGTTTAAGGAGATCCCTTTAAAATTGAAATTTTTTTTAAACATCCAATCTTGATGAAATTTTCAGTGGGTGTATATATCTCGAGCTAGACATCTTACAGTAAAAATTTCAGCTTGATAGATTGAGTCTCCGAAGAGTTAGATTAAGATTAAGGATTAAAATTTAGGTTTCCGTGCGTCCCAAATTTCTACTCGAGTTTTCCATATTCTCTTAGCTTATGTTTTTAGAAAACTTATCTGATGAAATATGAAAAACTCATCAGAACAGTTAGTTTCTTATAAACATTAATGAATAAATCGAAAAATTCGGCTCTATTAAGTTGTAGAGCTAATTTTTCTCTTCATTTTAACACCAAGTCCAATTTTCTAGCGTTTGAAATGGTGGAGAAATCTGAGATGTACAAAAATGTAAAAATCAAAAACTCTCTTCTGAGAAAAACCTATGTAATATCCTTATATCTCATCATAAAATCAGTAAACTATAGACACTTTGCTCTATCTAACGAATTGTAAATCACAAAATTGACTTTTTTTTTTTTATTAGCCCCTTAAATATAAATTTCAGCTGTCAATATTCGCGTTAAAATTAAGAACTAATACATAGCCTCAATAATGTCTTTACTCAATAGCCACATGTCATATCTATTTAAATGATTTCATAATAAAAAAAAAAAGAAACATAAAATATTTTTATAAAATAGGTGCATTTGATCGTTTTGTTTACATTCATGGGCATACATCATCAGTAAGTTCTTCATGGACAAAATATTGTCGTCGTGTATCAACAACATCTGGTTCAATAATTTTATTAATTTTACCAATAATATGTAGTTTACCAATCGCTATATGTAATTTTCTTCATGCACATATAATACATATATCATTAAAAAATAAAATATGTATGGTACAATATACACATGGAATATTAATAACTATATTAGTATCATTTTATATATTACCATTAGTATTTTCATTTTTTCTTCATGGAAAATTAATTTATTTTATTCGTACAAGACATAATCAATATTATTTAACAAAAACAGCATATTTATTACCTATGAAATATAATTATACAAATGAAAAACGATTAAAACAAAATTCAAATAATGATAATATTAAATATCATCATGATTTAAATTTACCACCAACAAGTTCATTTAATCGACGTTTTATTACAATAAATACAGATACAATAAGTCCATTAACAACAACAACAGGAACAATGGCAGCTGCACAATTAGCACGATTAAATCAAAATAATTCATCAAATTCATCACAATCAAGTCGATCATCATCAGCAACAGCAGCATGTTCAACAGCAATAACACCACCAATTGTACTTTATAAAATAAATTCTCAAGCAAATGCAAATGCTAATCGTACTGTTTTATTACTTGTACTTTTATTATCATTTTATGTTTTTTGTTGGGCACCATATAGTATTTATACATGGCATCATGCATATAAATTAACACAATCATCAACATTAAATTCTACAATAAATAATCAAACATCAATAATATCATTTAATATTAATCAAACAATAACAAATAATCTTAATGCTGATTTACGTCGAATTATATTTATTAATTATTCATTATATCTTTTATCAATGATATCAATGTGTTTTAGTTTTATATTTTATTTTTTACTTAATAAACAAGCACGACGTGAATTTTCACGTTTTATTAGATGTATTTGTCCATGGATAATACATATTCCAAATAAACAACAAAGACAACAATTTTTAAGACAAGAACAAAATAGATCAAAACAATTACAATATCGTAAACGAAATCAAAATAATTATCCTAATAAAACTGAACGAATGAAAATCTCTCAACCATCATTAATTAATAATCGATATAATCATATAAAACATGTAAACTCTCCTCGAAATATAACTTCAAAACGAACAGTACTTAATTATGGTTGTCAAATTCAATGTTGTCCATAAGTTCATTTGCTTTTATTGTAAACCAAAAAAAAAAAAGAATAAAGAAAATAAAGAAATCACATTGTCTTTTATTAGTGTCTGTTGTTATCGCGATGCTTTTGTCAGGTGATTATTTAATTGTTGTTACACGAAAATTCGAGAAAAAAAACACACACACACACACAAGAATTTATATTATTTAAAAAGTTCCAAACGAAAAAAAAAACCAATAGCTTGTTAATACCAATGAGGATGAATAAAATAATATTCTGGAAAAGTTTTTTTTGTATATTGAAAAAATGATGATGTATTACTATCAGGACGAACACTAGGTTCAATATCTTCACGTGGATTAATAACACGCCATGTTTGGGAAAGATAACGTCGAGATCTTCTATCATTTATATTCGATTCATTATTAGAAGAATTTTCAGTTCGAATTGTTTCTGATTTAGATTCATTTACATCAGGTAATGGAACTGTTGAAGATGTTTGAATACCTTTTTCTTGAACAGATGTTGAAGGACGAAGACTAAAAAACAAAAAACAGATTCTTAAGTTTAGATTAAACAATGTGAAATTCGTTTTTACGATTGGATAGATTATTTATGATCGTAAAAAAATTAGAATTAAACTTATTCGATTGTATGATGTACGAATGATCTTTAACAACTATGCTATTATTGTTAAGTGTATGTCAATGAAATATTAGTTTATATTTCAAAGTTTTTTTTTCTTTGAATTCTAAAACTTCATATGAAGATAGAATAAATTTGATCTTATTTTCTTTGCTTAAAGGTCTTCATAGAAAAAAATAAAAATTACGAACGAAAAGAAATTAAACTTGACATTTAAAAATCATAATAATTACCTTTCTAATGATTGAACAACTTCTCCAAGATCACGTTTTGATGATTGACTATCTCGATGACTACTTTGAGATAATCGTTGTTGTGATGAACGATTTGAAGCTGTATTTATTCGATGAGATAATCGAGGATTTGCGGATTTTTGACGTTGTTCTTTATTTTCATTTTTACGATCATCTTTATAAAGTGTATCAAGAAAACTATAAACCACTTGACGTTCTTAAAAATAATCATTTTAATTAGGAAAATATCAAAAAAAAACAAAAGATTTTACCTTGTGATGAATGATTTGCAAACCAAGATTCAACAGTTTTACTTGTATAAAGTCGTTGTTTTAAATCATATTTATGATAATTTGATGTTATTGGTGAAATAATACGAGATGATTTTGGTATAACACCAGGTTTATGTATAGATATATCACGATTATAATATGCCTCGACTGGATGACGAGACTAAATAAGAAATGAATATTAAATTCTATTTATTTATTTATTTATTTACTTACTCGATTCATTATTAATAGGAATATTAATTTTGTTGTCTCAAAAAAAGAAAAAAAGAATCAATAATCATTCTATTAATGAGATAAAACAAAGAAAATAGAAGTATGAACGATAGAAAAGAAATGTTTTCTTGCCTTTTCTTTTTTTTTACTTAGTTTAAGATAATGAAACATTGACTAACATACTCAATATTTTATATCAGTTTCGATGGATACGTGTATTTATATCTACACGATACCTTAGCTACTATCTTATGCTTGCTATCGTTCTTTCTTTTAAGAGTGTCTTTTGAAGTATATCGTAAATAGGGTAGAGAGATTTCAATGTCAAACAGAAACAAACAGAAAACTAACGAAGAAAGAAACATTGATAGATGCATCATTACAACTGTTATTACATCAGTTGACCAACCACAACAAACACTCATATAAAAAGAAGAATTGTTTTTCTCATTCTTGTTCTATAAAAATGTCTTTTTTGATTGAAGAGGCCACTTGACAATTGAAAACCGATATAGATTATCAAAATAAGATGTCGTCTATGACAATTGATTTGTTTGATCAAAATCGATCAATATAGTTTCTTTATTATTTTTATTTTTGAGACAAAAAAAAATATAATGAAAAGAAATTTCTAGGTAATGTTTTCTTTTGTTTCGATCAATTATTTTTTATGCATGAACATCTTTTAATTCAGGCGGTAATTCATTTTTAGGATGTTTGTTTTCAAAATGTAATTTATATGTTTTTCTATCTCCCATTTGAGCCTAAAAAGAATTAAAATTCGATATATTATCTTGATTTTCTTTTTTTTTGTGTAACTTACTTTACAAATGACACATTGGTAAGTTAAACCAGCCGCTAGAAAATTATATAAAATATTAATATAAACAAAAAAAAGTTTAATTGTTTTATTTTTGTGTATTACCAGCAGTGCCTTTTTGTGTTGTTGACTTATTTGAAGCATTTTTTTCATTACGTTGACGAGCTAATTCTTTTTGATGTCCTCGAGCCATCCTTGACAATCAAATAATATTTTTCTTTTATCTAAAAAAAATACAAATAATCATTAAAAAAATGGTACCATATTCAATATTATTTATATTTGTTATAGAATATACCAATTAATAAATGTAACTCATTCTATAGTTAATGTCATGTGACTTAAAAATCGATGATGCATATCGATTGATACTAAATTTAGTAAGAGGGAAGATTGTTTAAATAGATAATATCAATAATAGATGATCCATTAATTAAATAAAACTTTTGAATATGAATAGAAAATATTTCAATCTTATTTTGCAAATGATATGATAAAATAGTCGCAGAGTTTTTCTATGAAATAAATACATATCTTAAATAACAGAGGGCAGTATTTTACAATAGTTACCTTTAGCTAATCTTATTTATAAAAAAGAAAAAAACAAGAATAATTTTGATTTGATTTCCAGTACTATTATTATCGTAGACTTTCATTTCCTTCAATTAGTTTAATAACGAATAGAAGATCAATGAATACATTAATTTAGCTTGCATGTCTGTTAATTCTGTCTGTAATGTTATACTTTTGTTTTTATTAAATTACCTAAGATCATACCATGAGTTCAGTTTTTATTCATCATCGTTATTAGACCTTACAAATGAATTTAAAATTGAAGATCTAGTTGTTTTTTGATTCTGTAAGCACTAGAACCCATTGAGTCTAAGAATTTTCGGATCCGAGCCCGATCGATGAAAACGTTGGATTCGAACCTGATTGATTAATCTTTTGTGGGAAGAGCCCATCGGGTTTAAAACATTTTGGGACTCGAACCCAATGTGCTCTAGTAGGCACTCGGCTGTTCGAGATGTTAACAGAACTGCCACATGTGTCCCGTTTTAGTTTATAGTACTTCATTTCAGACTTTCGTATCCTATTAAAAAAAAATATCTCATTCGAGTAGTTTTTCTTTTTAGTAGACACATGTGACAACGTGTTAATAAAAATCATCAAAAACTTCCTATTTTACTCTTTACAGATATGTCAATTCTTCACTCAAAAAAATGCATGGCGCATAAATAAACTCGTAAAAATGAAATCAATACATTTTGAATAATTCTAGATTTACAATTCAATTTGATTGATGATTGACAGAAAACAAAATTATGGATGCATTTCTGGTAACATTTAACTGATTAGTATGAATAGATAATCACCTTCAGTGAGTGTAACGTGATGACGTTTTGGTCATTCTCCGAAATCTCTGAAAATATGAGCCATTTGAAAATTGATGACATAATGTGATGACGAAAAAAGGACAAAAAGTTGAGAGTATAAAAAGAAACAATCAAAATCGTGGGCTGCAGAAAGAGGAAGTCTTCCAACTGTCATTAGATAACAAAAATAAAAGTCAATATTTGTTATCTTTTTTTATTATAAATGATTTGGAAAGAATTATAAGATATTTAACATTTCTTGAAATCTAAACGTTTCTTTGTTCTTTTCTTAAAGACTTTTTCTTTCACATTCAAGAGGAATGACATATGATATTTAAGTTACATTTGTATGTATATAAATATAAACGTTTTCACATTATTTACTCTTTTATGCATGACAATAGTTAGTAATTATTGTGTCAATTTAATGCAAAAGAATCGTCTTATTCACATAATGCAAAATTTGCATGTCAATATGAGATATACAAATATATTTAATCAAAAAAATGCACTTGTTAACCCATGAGTGAATCAAATGATGGTTGATGGATATGTCGAAGATGATTTGTTGAGTTGACTACAAAATGCAAATTCATCTATGTACTTAAGATGAAATTCATTTTTAAAAACTTATATTTTTCAAAATATTTACTCCATCTTAGATGGTAGCTTTTCGCATATCAGATCTTGTTGATGGATCTAAATAATGAAGTTTATCTGACGATATCCCGCTGATGTTACTTACAGCGAGACCATTATGAATTTATATCACGACAAGCGTACAATAAACTCATTTGAAACTACTTCAATATTTATAGTATAGCGATATCTTTCGCATGAAACTCATTTTAGACAAAAATAAAATATAGTTTTGTAGAACATCTGATTTACACTATTTCTATTGCAAAGATTATTTTCTGATGTGGCCATGTAAACCAGATGTCGCCACTGGGTAGTGCATGAAGAGTGGCAAAAAATTAATCAATCAAAATATAAGAGAAGATTCGTAAGTTCTACTACTACTGCGTCGTAGTGATAGAGTCGAAAGTAAATTTAACTATATAAATCAATAAAAAAATTGTTAATCCTTTGTAAAATTAACGAATATCTCTTTAGATTTATTTTAAAAGCAAAAAAAGCTTCAGATTCTGATTTTTTAAAATACCTTTCGCAAATAAAGTTCATTTTTTTTGTCCTATTTTTAGAATGATAGTAAATAACAATCAAATTATACAATGTGAATATTGTTTTGCATAATGGCTTCTTCTTCTTCAATCGATGAACCATCAAAACTTCCAAAGTAAATATTTTATATAATAAAAACATTGTTATTTTATCTTTACGATAGAAATACATTGTACAAAGACATAGCTCCTCATCAATGGCCGATAATTTATTCATCAAATTATAATATTGGTTTTCTCTATTTGGAAAAACTTCATCCATTTGATTCATCAAAATGGGGATCAATTGTCAATTTTCTTCGACGTATTTATAATAATACATATATAAAATTCATCTTACATTTTTCTTTTCTTTAGAGGCAAAAATGATTACAAATGATACAATAGTAAGACCAAATGAAGCAAAATCTGAAGATCTTCTTTTAGTACATACAAAACGTTATTTATCAAGTCTTAATTGGAGTATTGTAGTTGCACGTGTTCTTGAAGTTCCACCAGTTGCTTTATTACCTAATTTTATTGTACAATGGCGTGTTCTTAAACCATTACGATATCAAACTGGCGGAACTATACTTGTAAATATTTGTTTAAAAACAAAAAAAAAAAAAAGATTCTATTCTATATCATATATTTTAATTTATTTTTAAGGCAGGAAAATTAGCATTAGAACGTGGTTGGTCAATAAATATTGGTGGTGGTTTTCATCATTGTTCATCGAATCATGGTGGTGGATTTTGTGCTTATGCTGATTTAACATTACTTATTATCAATCTCTTTACTTATTATTCTGATCGAATAAAAAAAGTTCTCATTGTAGATTTAGATGCACATCAAGTAAATATTATTTTTCAAAAAAAAAAAAAAAAAAATTCTTCTTCTATTCTTTAGGGTAATGGCCATGAACATGATTTTATGAATGATGAAAGAGTATTTATAATGGATATGTATAATCGTCAGATTTATCCACATGATCATCAAGCTAAAAATGCTATTCGATGTAAAATTGAATTAGAAAATCATACTAATGATAAAACATATCTTCGTTTATTACATATTAATCTTGAAAAATCTTTAAATGAATTTCAACCTGATTTTATTGTTTATAATGCTGGAACAGATATACTTCAAGGTGATCCACTTGGAAATCTTGATATTACACCAGAAGTAGATATTTATCTTTTTTTTGATTTTATTTAAATAATTGATTTAGGGTGTAATTATTCGTGATGAAATTGTTTTTTCAAAATGTATTCGAGAAAGAAATATTCCAATTGTTATGTGTACATCTGGTGGATATCAAAGAACGAATGCAAGAGTTATTGCAGATTCAATTTTAAATTTATTTACAAAAAAATTAATCTCATGTTAATTAATCTTAGTTTTATTTATATATATATACTCGCCATTTTTGTTGTTGTTTTTTTTTTTTACAAAAATAACATGTCCAATCCGATTTTTTTGTTTTCGTTATAGATGAGTTCATCAGTATCAGTAACAGGTTATGAACAACTGAAAAAAACATTGGAAAATTATGGAAAAGATAAAAGAATTTTTGTATTATTTTGTGGTGAAAAAGATAGTCAAGGACATAGTTGGTAAATGAACTAATTGTTTAATAGCAATCGAAAAGTAGTAATGGAGATACTTTAATTTCTTATAAACTTTTTTTTCGATATGGACTGATAAGAAAAACGACGCTCTCTTTTTTCTATACTACTGTACCATTTTCTTAATTGTCAGGTGTGTGAAGTGATGGAAAATGTTTAGAAACAATGATTTTTTTCATAATGATAAACACGTAGTTCCAATACAATTTATAGCAAGATTTTACAGATGAACAATGATGGCAAGGCTCCTAAAAAGCTGAACATGATAGTTTTCAGATTCTAGAAGACTTTGACAGAGCTATTTTTTGAACGGTGCCATCTTAAAGAGCACAAAATTCTGAGCAAAATGAGGGATCGCCGAGTTTTCTATGAACTTCTCGTAAAAAGTTACAAGCATCACAAAAATCATGAAAAAGGTGTTTTTAGTCGATTTTTAAAAAGATTTCGGTTTTTCATGATTTGTGATGTTTGTAACTTTTTATGAGAAGTTCGTAGAAAACTCGACGATCTCTCATTTTGCTCAGAATTTTGTGTTCTTTAAGATGATACCATTCAAAAAGTAGCTCTGATAAAGCCTTCTAGAATCTGAAAAACATCATGTTCGGTTTTTTTAGGAGCGTTGCCATCATTGTTCATCTGTAAAATCTTGCTATAAATTGTATTGGAACTACGTGTTTATCATTATGAAAAAAACCAAAAAAATCGTTGTTTCTAAACTTTTTTCCATCACTTGGACGCTCTCTTAAGGCCTTTCCCCTCAGAAAAAGTCACTTTTCGTCAGAATCATCGAAATTAAGATAAATGCCGCATGATCTGATCTCTCATAAACGACAAAATTTTTTACACGACACCTCATTTTTTTCCAAAAATTTTTGAAGATTTCCATCATTCTTTATTCGAAAAAATCTTTTTCAATTTTTCTCAGTTCATAATACAGTCGAACGCGCAATCCAAATTTCTCAGTTCAGACGGATGTGATGTATTTAAATTCTTTTTTTTTTGTTAGAAAGAGTACCACAGAGTCCTTTTTTTGGAAATAAGCTTTTTAATAATTAGATAAGAGAACAGCTCTATTTAGGTTTTTTTGAGTAATTGAATTTATGATTGTTTCTTTAAGTTTTTTTTTTATGAGGAATTAAAGTATCTCTGCCATTACTTTTGTATTGCTCTCAATAGAATAAATGATCAAGATTTATTTATTTCATTTTCTGTATAGGTGCCCGGATTGTGTTTTAGCTGAAAAACCAGTAGAAGAAACAGTCAAATCATCATTACCATCTAATGGAATATTCATTGAATGTTCAGTTGGCGATCGGCCAAGGTAAAATCTAAATAAAATTTTTACTGAAGAAAACTCAAGAAAAAGAGTTTTAAACACGACCATAAACTTTTAAGGATTTACGAAACTTCAGATACCTACAAAAGAGGCTGTCTTCCATGGAGTACTAGTATTCTTGAGCTGTTATACTGTCGACAATAGCCGCTGGTCCCAAACACCAACCCATCCTCGATTAGTTCAGATGTCATTTTATCTCAACTATGTTGGCAGAATATCATAAAGAATAGTAGTACTTCATAGAGGGCAACTACTTTTATCCAGGATTGTATTTTCAATTTGGAAAAATCTTTCGCGCGTGTATATCGGAAATGGTTTTTTTTTTGTTCTAAAGTTTTGCACAATATGAATTATTTTTAAAAGTGTATGAACGATTAAAAAACGAAATTTATGTTTGTTTTTTGTAGTTGGAAAGATCCAAATTGTCCATTTCGAACAGATTCGAAACTTCGATTAACAAATATTCCAACTTTAATGGAATGGGGAACGGTAGGAAATAAATAAATAAATTATATTAAAATAAATTATTTCTTTTTTTGTCTTTAGACTAAACGTCTTACTGAAAGTCAATTACTTGATATGGAAATGATTAAAATACTTTTTGAAGAAGATTAAATACAAAATTTTCCATACTAATAATGATTCCTATTTAAACATATCTTGATTTTTTTTAAAAAAAATATTTGTAATTTATTTTATCATTATGAAATTGGTGCAATTATTAGAAAAATATACATTGCTATTAGTTAGATTACATGAAAGCTTTTGTTCATATTACTAAAATAACAGAAATCAGTACGAAAAATACCACAAATATGCAGATTTATATGAGAAGACTTCCTCTATCTAATGATATATATGTATTATCAAGTTATGTTGATAGATAGCGCCACCTTTGCTGTAGCTAAGGCAGAATACAGTAAAGGTGACATCATCTATCAACATTCAACAGAACTTGATAATATCTATACACCATTAGATAAAGAAAATCTTTCCATACAAACCTACATATATCCCGTTCTGGGATCAAATATCACTGCGATGCTAGTTGCATTGAATAATGAGAACTTTATCAGTCTGGATGAATAATTCTATTCATCTAAATGTTACATATAAGAAAATCCAGCTGACTCTATGTTTAATAAAAATCTTCGAGTTTATGCTATATATGTTGAGTGATGAATCTGTGTGAATTAGAGAAAAATATGGTAAATAACTAATCGGCTAAGATGTCTTTAAGTTTATTCGACTTTACAACTGATTGGCATACTTTCTATTGAATCTACCAGGCGATAATATATGCGAATTTAAATCAAGCAATGAATTGACTATTGCTAATTATCCGATGGTTCGACAAGTTTTTACACGACTATTATTTTCATCTTTCAGTATAGATGTTCACTTTGTGTTTGTCAAATAAAATAAAGTATTCCAAATGTTTGGATTTAGAATAGTCTAGAAGGTGTAATATCATATCACAATGATAAGAAAGTCAACAAAAAAAAAAAAAAACCTAACTGAATTATGATAAGAAGTTAAAAATATAAAAGATGATGATGATAATGAAAATTTTAACATAAATGTCTCTACCGTCGAGTAAGTTCTTTGTTTTTGAGCTATTTATTATTTTATGTTTATTACTTAAATAAAGGATCGCAATACAAAGATTGTGGAGTTGCTTGGGTTTCGGCAAGCAATGGTCAAGTTCCACCAAATGCTGTTCCTGGTGGAAAAGAGGCCAATGGTGAAACACTCTATGTTGCACGATTTATCACAAAAGAAGGTCAACTAGCTCCAGGAAAACTTTCTCCTCAAAACAAAAATGCTTATAGTAGTTGTGGTGGTAAAGAACAATCTTCTTCAGTCTATCAAGTTTTGACTCATCCCAATCAACAAGAATTAAGATGGGTTCCCACTAGTGGAAATAATTTACCAACAGGAGCATTACAAGGTGGAGGTGATCATAGAAGTCCTTTATTTATTGGTCGAGCACCATTTCAAGGAAGTGTATGTTGTGGAAAATTTGAACCAACTCATGGTTGTGTTTATCTGCCATACGGTGGACAAGAACATAGTGTAATGAATAATTTTGAAGTTTTATGTTTAACTAGAATTTGTGAATAAATTTTTATCAATAAGAAATTTAATAAAAAATAAAAATTCATTTTTATTAATCATTTCAAAGAATATAAAATTTAATTGACAAAGTTTAAGTTATTACTGAAATACATAAGAATATACATTCAAAAGAAGATTTTGCTTCTTTTTTTTTTTAAATGACATCATTACTTTCATTTATTTGTCGTTGGTTTCTTTTCTTTTTTTTTGTCATTGATTAAATAACTTAATATTCATGAATAAAATATAATTAGTATAGATTATTTCTTATCTAATACATGTTTATTTAATAAAGTAATAAAAACAGTTTTTTGTTTTTGACATTATGATAGATGATAATAATAAAGAAATTACTCATTGTAGACACATTGATTCTATTGTGTGTATTAAATTTGAATAACAAAATCGATCTAAATTTTTAGCTTGAATATTTTCAATTATTTGAGTATATATTGATTAATAACGTATTATTGTAAACTTAAAATTTCAATATGATTTTCAAATAGAAAAATTAAAATTTAAAGTCGATTGTATTTAGTATTGACTCGTTATTTATTTTCATCTTCAAATAATTTAATTTAAAAAACAAACTAAAAATTAGCGAATATCAGTCCTCAACTTTGTCAGTTGACCTATATACCTATTACTCTTTTTTTTGCAGAATGTTATTAAGAGTTTCGGTCATGGAGTTCTTGCACTGGAATCTATGCATTTATTACTATGCATGCATTAGAAATACATTATTATATGATTGACGTGAAGACATTATTCAAGAGTTTTTCATTATATTTTGAAATAAATCAGTTGATGACAGTTAGACATATTTAAAGGCATTCGTTGGTGATAGTAGACATACTTAATAAAACAAAACAAAAAACAATTTTTATTATCAAAGACAGAAAAAAAAAGAAAAAGGATGGAGACAATATAGTTATTTTATCTAAAATCCTTTTATTTTATTATAACATGACATTGGTTTAGACAAGATAAGAACTTCGATACATTTTATGTATTTACGAATAAATGCAAATGATATAATCCATTATGAAACTTTCAGATATTAATTCCATTATGTATCAATATTTACAGATAAGAGAATGATTTTGTTTTCTAAAGAGTCAAACAAAGAAATTTATTTCCGATCGAAGAATATAAAATAAAAATCTTTATTATACAATTTATCTTATCCAATTATTAGCAATTATGAAAAATACCTCGTGTAACTGTGTACATACATGAATCACATTCTTACGACATATGTATGGACACATTACAGAATAAACTTATATGTGTGTTGTAAACGCATAGAAATACATGCATTATATTGTTGTATAAAACAACATACGGATGTTATCCTAAAAAATTCTCATATGTCTGCATACACGAACACGTCATAGTCTTTTCCCTATATATGATTCAAATTTATGTACTGTTTTTTTTATAAGACAAGCTTGTCTACCATTCGACTATGGACTTATACTAATAATGCACTCAAAACTCGGAGATATATTGATTATTATGAGACATGTGTGTCCATGGATATTAATAGCTATTGAAGAATTTCACAAAAATATAAATAATCATATATAGAACTGAAAACTGAATTCTTACATGTAATATTATGCATAAAGAGTGTGTAAGAATTTCTGATTCCATTCAAATAATATTCTTTTCTTATGCTTTTTATCAGTCGAATAGACTGATATTTGCAGCATATGTATACTAGACATCTAGATCTATTTTACACTAGAATTTCCGCTTTCTATCTGTTATATAGTCAGAAAGATACAAGTAACGTAAAATTAATGAGAACTTTTTGATTTATTCGTGAGAATTTTTCTGCCGTTTTATTAAGGATATTAAATAAAAAAACAATGATTTTAACGAGGTTTACAAATCAGAATTCTATAAAAGTTGATGTCTTTTTACTAACAGAGGATTTTCTGATTCTTAGATAAAACTTTGTCGTAATGGATTTAGATTTTTCAAACCTAATATAATTGATCTCAATTCTTTATTATTTTCAGAAATATTTTAGCATGATATAAGTATAATTTATCACATGTAAATTTGTATTATTCTAGATATATAAATAGGATTTGTTGTCTCTATATAAAAGTAAAATGAAAATTGGATTAAAAAAAAATATATAAATCAATTTATCTGTTCATGTAACTCGTTCGTAAGTTTTGTTGTATCTACATGTTATGAATATCAGGTTAAAAAGACGTTGTCCAATTCTTTTCTGTTAATAATCACGTGTATAAATGACAGAACGCAGGAGTAATACGCAGAAAAATAAAAGTTACTCGTAATAATAGATTAGATCGAATAACTATAATATTTTCATCCATGTTGTTTCTAAAAATAAATCAAAAAAACAAAAAAAAAAAGATCCTACTAATTTTCGGTTACTTGTATCTCTCTGACTATAACAAGTAGAAAGCTAAAATTCTAGTGTAGAATAGATCTAGATGTCTAATATATATGCTGCAAATATTATCCTATTCTACTGGAAAAAAAACATAGAAGAAAAATAATATTACTTGAAGAGAATCAGAATTTATTACATACCCTTTATGGCAAAGTAGTAAAGATGTGCATGTTGATGTTGAATCATTTGGATAATAATGTGTCTTGATGTGAGGATGAAGTGAGTCAGTTGTCTCACCAGTTTTTCATTGTGTCTGCGAAATTTTCTGCTAGACTTAACCTTCTAGCAAATATGCCAAACAGTGCATAGTGTAGATTGTCTGTTAAATCTAGCTGACATAATATATCTATTGATTCTTCCAAAAAGTACAGTATATTGAGATTGATAACATCAAAGCAAGTTTTGCTTATCTTTATTGAAATTAACGTAAAGAAGAAGTTTTAATAAATGCTGAAATAATTGTAATTAAATTAATTTCTAAAAAAATTATAACAACAAACAATAGCAATTGACCGACTATATATATATATATATCTATGATTCGATTCATATCCTATTCTTGTACGCTTATACATGCTTATTATAAGAATATCTAAGAAAACAATTTATCTCGATTGTAGTAAACAAATGACAAAAAAAAAAAGAATTGGAAAGACTGCACTCGTCAAAAGCATATGATATCTGAAGAAACTATTTTAACAAAATATGAACCATTACAATCATTAGCATTATCTCTGTTGAATGATAAAACTCTACAATAGTATTCAAGTGTAAGAAAAAATTTTCTAAAATTGAGAAACTAAAACAATTGTCCGTAAGAATTTATGTCGAGTTAAATATGAAAATAATCGTCTTCGAAAATTTGTGAATAGTATTCGTCAGAAGGTGTTAACCACACTCGAGAATCTTGTCATTTAATAAAAAAAAAAAACTTTGGTTTTTATGTTGTACATAAATATGTAAACACTTGTAAAGATAAAATTGAAGCATGTTCACATAAAAACAGTGGCGGATCCAGGGGGGTGGCGACCCCCTCCCCCCTCGGGTTTGACTTCACGGTTTTTTCTAATAGTTTTCCTTGGAAATTTTACATTTTTGTCACATCCGCCACCCCCCCTTTCGCTCATTCCACTTATCCGCCACCTCCTTCAAAAATTTCTAGATCCGTCACTGCATAAAAATGAATATATTTTCATGCACATGTTTGTAACACAACAATTGCAAATATTTAAAATGACTTGTATATGTTCTTATATGATATATATCTAATAACTTGAAAAATATAAGTTTTTAATTATTTCTCGAAATGTACACGTGCTTTATTTTCTTAGCCTTTGATATTTGAATTAATATCATTGTATTAATGTCGAATATTCATAGGAAATATATTTTCCATTTTGTTTTTTTTTTTTTCTTAAAAAAAATATAAACAATTATCTATTTTGCTTACGAATTCTTATTCGTCTGAGAAAATAATAATAAAAGCGTCAACAGTATGATAAAATAAGCTTCATGTCTGTGAATAATTTTATTATATCTATGCCAACGCACATATTCTATTTATTTTCTTTTTTTGGTTTGTTTCAAGCTAATACAAATCCAAACTTGAGTAGGATGAAAAAACAAACAAATATAGTATTTGTGGTATATTACTGATGAAGAATATTTTCTTTATTTCTTATATAGAACATACGCGTAACATGCATAGAAGTTGACAGATTTCTTTTTTTTTTTCTTCTTCTTTTTCTTCTTATCTTTTGTATCGCTTTTGGATATTGTACTTTTATTACATTCATAGAAGGAAATAGAAATAATATATCGTGGAAAGCTAAAAGCTAAAAGCGAACAGCAATCAGAAAATATAACACGAGTAATTTTCTTTCCTTTGATCTTGACTTGTTCTCTTTGTTGTTTTCTATCTAGCTTTAGACAACTTATATATATATATCTATATATATATAGTGTTTCTCATCATTTCCTTAGAAAATAACATTTGTATACATGGTGCTATACTAATATTAGTATCGTCGTTCTGTTAAGACCGTATTATTATGTTCACTTGATATTAATTATTCATTTTATTTTCAGATTATATTCGATACATATTATAACACATTAAACTAAAGTAAGTAAGAATTTTATTTTAATCTTAAACTCAATATATATAAAAAAAAAAAAAGTGAAAATAATAATAATAAATTTTATTATGATAATATCTATGTATTAAAAAACTAATTTAAATTGTTTTAAACAAAATTATCATTATATTTAGCATGCCTTTCGGAAACACAGAAGTCAATCGTTGTCCACGTTGTAATCAAGCTGTTTTCCATGCTGAAGCAATACCAGCAGCTGGAAGTCAATGGCATAAAACCTGTTACCGATGTGGTATGTTAGATATTGTTATAAATCTTGTATAATTATTAACATTTATTTCTTTTTTTAAATCAATAAAAAGGTCTCTGTAAGAAAGCTTTAGAACCTATGACCATGGCTGCACATGAAGGTAATATCTATTGCAAACAATGTTATGGTCGTAAATTCGGTATTCGTGGTGTTGGTTTTGGTGTTGGAGCTGGTGCACTTGCTATGGATACTGGTGATCGATTTGGAAATACTGAATCACTTTCGTATGTTGAAATATTTTTTTGTTTTGAAATTTCTAATTTCATTTTGTATTTTTAGAAATAAACCAAATTATGCTGCTCCACCTGGTGCTGCAGCAGGAGGTAAAGCTGCTGGTAACACCGAAGCATAAATTATCGAATAATAATAATAATAATAATATACAATTTAAGGGACAAAGTTTAGTGCTTCAGTCGTTCTTTATTTTTCATTGGCTTTCTTAGTTAGGTTTTCGTATTTTCTTTTTTTTTAATATCATTCTTTACCTTTTTATTTATTTGTATTTTGCACGATTAATACAAAATATTTGCGTGTGAAATATGTTAATTTTTGATAATAAAGAAAATACACGAGCATAGACTTCCACAAGAATGTTTATATATATACATGTATGATTTAATTTTCTGCTTAACAAAAGGAATTTATAAGAATTAAACGAATTCTTTTATAAAAACTAGAAAAAAAAAAGTCTAAAATGGTTCGTCCACGTGCATCTTTGGAATCAAATGATGACCTTTATAATAAAATTTTGATCAATTTTTATTCATGTTGTGCTCAAAAATCAAATAATGGAATTTGGACCTAAAACTTTGTCCATAAATAGAACTCGTGATCCTTGGAATGTCTTGAAAGTTGTAGTTGAAAAGAATATCTATTTGTCGAGATTTTCAATTTCCAAAAAAAACAAAAAAGTTATTTACCAGAAATATATCACAAAAATCAATTTAACTTGAAAATTCAATATCTCAACAACGAAACATTTTCTTTCGGCTGAAATTTTCAAAATATTGAACAAAATGTTAGATCGAAAAATTCCTATTTTCATATTTCTAGAACTACTTACAAATGATTTGAAAATTCAGTAAATCAATCATAACTTAGTGCATGGAGATAAATCATTTTTAGACTTTTACTAGTCCCAAGGATGTCTCCTTGTGCATTTAACATGAGCATTACAATTATGGTAGTTTCCTTGTAGAACGAGCATGATAAATATAGTATTGTTAATGGTTGTTATATCCAAGATATGTGAAAATAATATTTCGATTGAATCATATATATTAATTTTTAGTAAATCTTAATAATGATCTTCTTATTAAAAAAAAAAGTGTCAATCAAATGAATGGTAGAGAAGAATATGTTGGAAATATTAATAGTACAGTTCTTTATTGGGTATGCTTTATATATTCTAACCAATGACAAAATATCATGTCTATTTTTGGAAAGAGCACACAACTGTCATCAACATTCGTTTGTTCGAGACTATTATTATTATTATTTTCATGTAGCTAATACTAAGATGTTTTATTTCGAAAAATATCTAATTTATTCTAAAGATAATAGACAATCACGATTAACAATAATTCCTATAGGAATAATGAAACAATATATTAACAACAAAAAAAAAAGACAAAACAATGGCTTATATTAAAAAAGAAATTTCTTTAATCTGTAGAAATATTTTCAATTTTTTTTGGTGATTTCGGTTCAGTTGATAGTTCTTGATCTATAAGAAATAAAAATAATTTTTTCAAAATGAATAAAAATGAAATAAAACCTTGTTCAAGTTTTCGTTTTTTTCCACTACGATGTATTCGTTGGCTACGTCCATTTCGTTTTCCATTATTATATCTTTCATTTTTTTGTGTTCGTTGTGCTGCTCGTTTTTCATTTGCTTGTTTCCAAAATTGTTCTTCTTCTTCCCCTTCAACAATACGACATATTATTTCATTATTTTCAATTATTAATTTTCCATTTTCAACTTCTAAGACTTTTTCAAGAACATACTTTGCTGTATTCGCTTCATTTAATCGTACCCATGCCTAATCATATTAATTTTTATTCTATTCAAATATAATAATAATAATTTTGAATTTTACCTCAATATCACCTTTGTTAAAATCAATCCATGGCATTTTAGTAAATGGATTAAATTTTGCTTTAATTAATTCACGTGTTGTATCAGTAGGTATTCCTTAAATTATCATGAAAAATAGTTTTTATTATATATTCTCAAATAATTATATAGAGAAACACAGTTTTAAAATATCTTCTACAATTAGTAGATATGATTTGTGTCAACTATAACGCCTAGATGTTTTTTTTATAAATAAAAACAAAATTCTAAATATGACCATAAGAAATTTCCTTAAGACTACATATGCTGATTTTCTATACTAACAAATTGTTCGTTTGCTTTGTTCTAATTATACAACATATTTTGAATTGCCCGGAAAACAACGATTATTTCTGCTGTCAGAATCGATTTTTGTTTTTGTGCAGAAAAAAACAGCCTTTTGAATAATGCATACTTCAATGTGAAAATCTCTAAGATGATATGATTTTCAATTAAAACTCATTTTAAGGTCTATTAACTTATAGACAACTCGATATGGTTTATAATCTGAATAGATCAAAAGTAATGTTTTCTAGTCTAGGAAGTCAGCATATGAAGACCTAAGCAGATTTCTCATCGTCATAGTTGGAGTCAACATGTTTGATAACTTTCAATATACTATTGCTCATTCTAAAAAAAAGACTGGTGGGTATTTTTTTGAATAACTTTTGATTAAAACAAGATGGAGAGCTGCGGTTTTTACTGCCGGAAAGAGAAGATAAAGATGCACCGAGCGGTATATTATAGGTCGGTTTCTCTTAAAATAAGAAAAACAAAACTAAAAATGATTTTTTTTCACAGAAATTAATAGAAAAATCAGCTAAGAGGTTTGAAGAAAATGCCTATAACTCCTGAACGAGTAAATCTAGAAGTTTGCATCTTGTGCAGTTTTATACGTCTTCATTTAACAGTTCGAATACGCACCTGATTATTGAAAATTGTCCTTAGTCATCTTACGGAGTATGTTGTTTTTCAAAACCTGTCAATTTGACTTCTTGAAAAAACCTAGATCAAATTATTCTGTAATATACAGTTCGATATGTTTCCATCTTCTCTTTCCAACGGTGAAAATCGCAGTTCCCTGTAGTGATTCTATCGAAAGTTATTCATGATAAGATTTTGTCTGACGAAAGAAGGTTTCCAACTTACGGACGCCGTTCGACTTCATATTATGGCTGCGAAGCACGTCTCTATGAGACTAACGAGGAAAGGTCTCCAAGTGATCCATTGCTTTTAAATCAGGACTAGGTTTATTATGTAGGCCATAATAAGTTAGGGCGCATAGCAAATTGCTATCGAGATACTGCATTTCTAAGGTATTTTCTAAGCATAGTGTCGTCATCCGCCTCAGGAACATCAGAAAAAGTGAGTTTGGAATTTGGACTTAAAACTTTGCACAGTGGCAGACCTCAATGAGAATAGTTTTATTATGAAAATTTCAGATCTTCTGATTATTCCTATTCTGAAACACGAACCTTGAAATCTGCTAGTGTGTACGAGCGATGTACAAGTATGCTTTTGCCATGAGTGTATCGTAGGATAGGAACAACCACGACATCTGAAACTTTCGCAATTAAACTATTCTCATTGAGGCCTATCACTATATAAAGTTTCAAGTCGAAATTCCAAACTCAGTGTCTCTGATGTTCCTGAGGGGAACCACGGCACTGTGCTTCGTAAGAAAACTCTAAAGGAATTCGAATCCATGGTTTATTGGTGAAGAGTTATGGTTGCTTTACTGGATTTTGAGCCTGTGGCAAAGAATTTCCGAAACAATCGAATTAAAGTATTTCGACCTGAAAAGTTGCCCATAGATAGGTCTAATGGTCATTAGCATCGCCTGAAAGTTTCAGTCAAAATGAATGTTTCTGTCCGAGATATTGAATTATCAAATAAATTCGATTTTTGTGGCCTGTCAGTGAAAAGTGACTATTTTTTCGAAAATTCAGTATCTCGAGAAAGAAATATTCGTTTTGGCTGAAACTTTCAGCTCATTCTAATGACCATCTATGAGCAAAATTTCAAGTCGAAATTCTTTAATTCGATTGTTCCGGAAATCTTTTGCCACATGCTTAAAATTCAGTAAAACAACCATAATTCTTCACCAATAGATCATGGACTTGAATTCTTTTAGATTTTTCTTAGCCTCAGAGAGATTCACCTCATAGCGATAATATGGAGTCGATTGGTGTTCGTAAGTTGGAGACCTTCCCTCGTAAGTACTCTTCAAGGATGATATTGGATAAAAGCCGTAATAATACTTAATAGAAACAATTAATATCTCATCGATCAAAGTTTAACAGATAGAAGTATTTGTCAATAATTGAATCTTCTCATTGAATATTTCTATTAATCATAGACATGAAAATTCTATATAGGATGTTTTTGATTGATAAGTTTAAATATAAAAATATTTTACCAGCAAGATGAATAAGAGCACCAAGTAAATTTTCATTATTTAATTTTTCTAAATGTTCATTAGTTTTTTTATTTAAATCTTGTTGTTTTTTATCTTTTTTAATTTGTTTTTCATTAGTTATTAATTCAATAGATTTATCTTTAAAATAATCAATTTGTAAAGAACATTCTAATATTAATTCATTATTATATTTAATTGGTGTTTGTTTTGAATATTGAACAAATTCTTGTGCTTTTTCATCATTTGGAAAAATAACACAAACAGAACCATTAAATTGTTTTGTTTTAAATTCTTTTTTCATTTGTATATTATCTGTTGCACCATAATTTTCAAAAAATTCAAGTAATTTATCTAATGTAACATCTTCTGTTATTGGAAAACCTTTTACATGAACAGTACGATTTCGTAATGTTAATTCAAGATCAGTTTGATTATTTGGTAATGGACGATCTGGATGACGACGAATTTTATATTCTGTTTCATGTAATTGTAAAAGACCTGATAAGGATTGTTTAAGTGCATTTATTATAATTTTAAAATTTGTTGTTAATGATTGTAAACGTTTAAATGTTGTTAATATAGATAATGATATCCAACCATCATCTTTAGTTATTTCATTTTTAAGAAATTTATCTCGAACCATATTAATATCACTAAAATAATATTCGATTTGTCGAATTATTTTTTGATTTAAATCTGGCGGTGTTATTATTTGACTTATTGTTGTTGTATGATTATCTTCATCAGCACTTAATAGAAATTATTTTTTTTTTTCTTCTCGAATTTTTGATGAAATTCTTACTGATCAGTTTTATCAACTGTTGTAGTTGTTGTTACTGAATGATCACGATTCATCTATTCAAAAATAAATTTATTTGAAAAAGATATTTTCTCACAAAATTCTTTTATACTGTTTTAGTTTTTGTAGTTGTTGTAACAATATCACCATAAACAATAGTTTCTTCTATGGATGATATTAAATCTGACATTATTTAATGATTATCTAGAACATGACCAAAAATAATAGATGAACCTTGTTTTTTTTTATTGCTAAAGAATGAAAGAAAAAAAATTCTTGATTATAAAGCGTAAATGGTAACGAAAATGATTTTCAAACAAAATCATTAACGGAAAAAATGATATAGCACTCACATATCGGACGAAATATATGTATAAATATATACAGATGCAGAAGAGAAGTGTTTGCTTTAATGATAAATTTCTTTTTTTTTTTTTTGCAAAACAAAACTACAATTGAAATAGACAAGACAAAACATAAATAGATTCTTAAATGTAAGGACAAAAAACGAAATGAATATTTTCATATGCAAATTTGTAATCTAATGTATTCATTTTTGTATAAAATGAATACATAGATTTTGACAAAAATATTTTCATCCAAATATTATTTACATAGAAAAAAAAAGAAGAAATCAATGATGGACATGAAAGTTTTGATTGAAAAAAAAAATTAAAACTGTTGATTGTATTATTCATGTTCTAGTTCACTGTTAAATGTTGATTCACGTGACATAGGTCGATCATCAGAAATTTGACCACCTTCATCAGAAAATCCACCTAAATTAATAAAAAATAATTCTTATAAATTGTTAAATAAAATGAATATTAAAAAATTTCACCATCATTTTTTGATGATGAATGATTATTTTTTTCTCCATAAATTTCACTTTCCGATGAAAAATTTCCAAATGAATGATTATATTTAGCACGATGTTTTTCATCATCAAGAATATAATTATCACTATGATTATCTTCTACTTCATCTTCTTCAGATGATGTATAAGAAATATTTTTAATTATTTTTCGATCATTTATTATTGATGGTGGTGATAAATGAAATTTTACATAACGTGAATGTTTACGTAAATCATTAATTCGACAATGATCATCGATTTGTGATGAATGTTGATCATTTGATGTATGAAATTTAGTTGAAGGTGATGTTATTGATGATGAACATTTTGTTTTATTATTATTATTATTTATATTAATATAACGACGTCGACGTTGTCTTGGAAAAGTATGATAATGAGTTTGATTATAATATTCTTTACCCGATAAAATAGGAAGATCAGTAGAAGATTGTTGTTTATTTAATGGAAAATTTAATTCATTTATTGTTGTTTTAAAGTTAACTTTTAAATTTTTTGGATTTAATTCACAATTATTTTCATTGGATTTTGAATCAATAATAGCTGATATAGATGGTAAAGGAGAATTGATTCTTGTTGTAGAAATTATTTTAGAAGATGAATCAAATTTATCATTTGTTGTATTTATTGAAGAACGTTTTTTTTCTTGAACTTCAATTGCTGAAAGATTTGATACTGTCAATGATGTTGCATTTTCTTCACTATTATTACGATTATGATCAGAACCTTTTTTACGACGGTTTTGAATTTTTGTATTTGTTACTGTTGAAGATGACAATAATGTTAAAGTATTAGTTGATTGTTTTGATGTATTATGTAATTTACTATTTGAAGCTAAATAACAGAATAAGAATTTTGCAATAAAAAAGAATGATTAATCAAAATGAAAGTCTATTCTTGTCCATATCTATTTTTTAATTAGAAATTTATTTAATTTGGATAGTTATATATGAGCAAAATCATTTGTTAGCGACGTGACTTCGGAAAATTAAAATATGTGCATCTCGAGATAATGAGCTCTCTTAGATCTGATTTTTTATATGTTGTATGGACATTAAGTTACTCTAGATACCCTAAAAAAATTAGTGCTATGAAGCTTTGTTTACAGGAGTTACTGGTAAAAAACTACCGTTAGTGACGTGACACAAAAAAGGACATCGATTTCCACTTCGTGTATTTTAGTTTTTAATAACTCCCAATTCATGCACAATTTTAGAAAACTAAATAGGGCATTTCGTAGACGACTTCTAAGGCTATAAAGTCTATATCCAAAATTTTTCTGAGTATGTCTAGATTTTTCAAAAAAACCGATTTATTTGTCGTTAGCGACGTGACATTTTTGTTAGCGACGTGGCACAGTATGACTACACAATCGAGATAATACTCTTGTAACCAACTAAAAAGTTCAAAATCGACTTCAAACGTTACAAATCATTACTCAGAATCCCTAGATGATGATAAGAGAAAAATTTCCGCTTCTTCACTTTTCACGATCTCTGAAAAACCGGTTTTTCGGAAAAAACTTTTCAGAGTCTAATCTTGCTGAAAAAATTTTACCATAGGTGCAGCTTGTGCCCTAGACCCTATCCTGAAGTTTTCAGATTTTTTTCTCATATGGTTAGCGAGATATTCGCTAATTACTTTTTAATTAATTAATTAATTTTAATTAATAACCATGTGAAAGACCAAACATTTTCACATAAGCCTATGCCAAAAGAATTTATTCAAAAAATTCACTCTTATAGAGAATCAGCCTCAAATGAAAGGTGCAAATGTCCTATTCTGCCTGATTTTGCCAATATATATTATGACCATTTGTTTAATTTACTTATCGGAAGAAGCTCTAATAATTTCTCTGATTATCTATTTAGAAATGTTTTTATTTTGTCATCAAAGTATTTAGTAGATAATTTCGTTTTTTGAAAGAAATCAATTTATTCTATAAGCTGAATTTTTCCCATGGTATCATTTTTCAATCCTTAATCAGTTCGATTGTTAAAGAGTGGGGGTATATTTGGGTTATCTTTAGAATCCTTCTATCTAATGTAGAATTTCATGAGGAATTGTTTGATAACAAAATAAATCGATTTCTCAAGTATTCAGATGCTTTGTTTTGCTCAAATTATTGATATTATCTTTTTATCATAAATGGATGGTTCGTGTATGGGATGGTGACTCGGGTAAATAAGACATTTCCAATTGGAAACTGCGTTAATCGACTGTGTATTTATGGTAAAAATTTCAGCTCGAACGATTAAAGTTTCGCTGATTAATGACATGAATATTGCTTAGTTATGTGATTACTTCAGTTCATTTCTGCTCAGTGTTTTCTCAATATCTTGAGAAACGAAAAAAAAAAATAACATGGAATTTTGGTTGATTGTCATAGTTTGAAAGAAGGATTATAAAATCAGATATTTTTCGAAGTAGATTTTATTAAATAAGTGGATCCGAATTTCCCTTATGATCCCATATTTTTGTATTTTTTACTAATCCTTAACGAATTTTCGTTCGAAAAAGTCGATATTGAGTCAAAACTAATAAAATATTTGGAATCAGCATAAAAAACTGAACTAACCTATATGTTCTTTACGAACTTCTTTTTTGTTCTCGAAAAATTGAGCTGAGGTCCGACTCAGGGATCAGTTCAGAAAAGAGTTTAATCAAAATTTCATTTTTATTATTTAGTTATTTGTTCTTTTATGTGGTAGTTACTTTTTATAGGCTCAAAGCTTGTTTTTCACTAATCTAATGATTTTATAAGAAAAATAATTTCCGGACCAATCCCTGGAGGGCACAGTGTACAGCCAGAAGACGAAATTGATTTTCGAGATTTGAACTTATATCGTAGCTAGCATAGTGCGTTGCATTTAAGTGCATCCTGGATGCTGTTTTATAGCGAGTATTTGTTATTATATAGTTATACAATGTTATGTATTTACTATATATTACAGGCCATTTGGACTTCTTAAAGTTCTTTAAGCTATAATAAGAGCAGAAACTTAGGCCCTGTATAGTGAAAAATAGCTACTAGCCAATCATGCAATTCGTTTCTCGGAACTTTAATTCAAGTTTTGGTTTATTATCTAGTAGAACATATCATCATGTATCTTCAACGGATGCGCACCGTAAAGAAAAACCTCAATGAGACTAGTTATTCCTGAAAGTTTGTTCTTATCCTTAAATATGAACATTTCACATATTGTGATATAAGCAATGTGAAAAGGAATATTTTTTCTTATACTCGTATCTCGGAATAGAAGGAACCCAAAAATCCAAAACTTTCAGAATAAACTAGTCTCATTGAGACCTTTCTCTCGACAAAGTTTCAAGTTGAAATTCGACAATTGATTTTTCAAGTGAACCTGAGAGAGGCCACGGCGCTTTTTTCGCCTACATAATACATATAGTCTCGATTCAAAAGCGACTGACCCTCTTCTTCTGTCTATTGGTGGACGGAACGCTAGCTGAATTTTTCTAGAAAAAAATTTTATGAAGAAACATTAACAAACACACAGACTAGTTCAGTTTTTTATGCTGATTCAAAATATTTTATTAGTTTTGACTCAATGTAGACTTTTTCCAGTGAAAATCTGTTGAAGACTAGTGAAATATGCAAAAATATTCAGGTCAGCTTATTTAATAAAATCCATTTCGAAAAATATCTGATTTTATAGTTCTTCTTTCGAGCTATGAGAATCGACCAAAAATTCATGTTGCTTTTTTTTTTCGTTTCTCGAGATACTGTAAAAACAATAAACAAAAGTAAATATAATTGATAAGATAACTATATGATTTTTACATTATTACTCATCAACACTTCAACCATTTGGGCTGGAATTTTTAGTAGAGATAGACTATGAGATATTTTTTGATACGACGAGTTCGTCCAAACTCTTTGAAAATAGTTTTATTTTATCATCAAACAATTCCTCGAGAAAATCTGCATATAAACCGATCAAAATTTGACGATGGCCTAAATGCACCCCCTCCCTCTCCGTTCTTTTTCCTTTGAAAATAAACTTACATTCTTTATTTTCTTTTTTCATATGTCGTTTTTTTTGAGATAGTAAATTAATTGGATCATTGAAATTTCGAGTTGCTGCTTTAAAAATTTCTAATGATTTTTGTCTTGCTTTTGATATTGTATAAATAGTACGTTTTTTTCCCTTAATATTAAGTAAATATTCTTTTTGTTTAATAATTTGTTCACGTTGTTCTAATTCAATCATTAATGTTTTTAATTCAATATAAAGTTTATTTATTTGTTGTATACGTATTTCATAACATTTACGTATATCAGCAATATATTCGAATTCTTCTTTACGTTTTTCTATTAATTGTTCATTTGTTAATTGAATTATTGATGATATATCAATTGTTGAATATTTTGTTAAATTTTCGTTTATTTCTCTAGAACATAAACGTGTTAATTCTTCATATTCTTGTTCTTGTTCGAATAATATTATTTCAGATTTTTTTATATCTAAATATGTTATTATTTGTTGAAATGTTGGACGATTTGATGGTTGTTGTTTCCAACACATTGTCATTAATGATTTAAATCCTTCAGGTATAGATGATGGTATTGGTAAGTTTAAACTACCTTTAGCAACACCTGAATTTAATACAAAAATAAAAAAAAAACATGATTTGTTCGATAACATTTTTAAATAGTTAAATAGACTTACCCCATATAACTGCTGCTGCATCAATGTTATTATATGGCACTGCACAGGTTATCATTTCCCAAAGAATAATACCAAACGACCTGAATAAAAAAGAATTTGTTTAATGAAATGTTTTTTCTTCTAATAAAGATTAAAAAATCATTTGGAAAACTTGAATTGGAAAGATTATATTTTAATTGAATTAGTCTGTATATAACTCATTTCATTTAAATCTCGATATCCATAGTTATGTCCTAAGAATTACCAATCCTGGTTAAGGATGCAACAGTGATGATCAATAGCTGTTTCACGTGTAAGCGGTGAACAGGTTAGAAACCTATGATGAAGATCGATTTTTTAATATCAATAGTTATGTTTCTCTTTAGGGCCCAGTCCTCACCCAAAATTTTATTTTTGCCTTAGAGCATCTAATCTTAACAGAGTCGGATTTTTTAATTTTTCTGTAGTTTGGTTTTTAAAGAACTTCTACGTCATGATATGAAATTAGTAGGATGTAAGTTCTCAAACATTTTCTCTTCATCTGACATCAATCATGAAATCGAGAAATCCGACTCTGTTAAGTTGTAGTGTCAGATCTTAGCTATGATTTAAAACAAACCCGAGCTTTCTAGCTTTCAAAATGGCGGAGAAATCTGGGACGCACGAAAACGTAAAAACAAAAAGTCTCATTTTGAGAAAAACGCAAAATATTTTTTAGAAGTGTATTTTATGACTTTTCATCCAGTAATAGTGTTTTTCTATCATCTTAAATAATAACAGATACTTTGAACTCATTATGGCTGAAGATATTACGACAAAAATTTATTAGCAGGTTCATCTAAATGATCTTAAAAATCAGAAATTAGGAAATGACATGTGATTAATGAATGATATGATAATAAAGTAACTAGTATTTTTAAAATCTGAGATAACGGTCATCATATTTCGATAATCAATCATAATTAAATTAATATTCAATAAGTCATCCACATCATCTATGTTTACCGATGGTGATGATGAATCCATTCTCTTATTTTTCACTTGCTGTGATCAAATTTGCCTCATAATAGACCTTCTGCTTTTCTTTTTCTGACGAATATTTTCTTTGCTCATTTGTTTAAAAGATTCGTATTACCTCTTTCTTTCGTATATTTCGAATTCTGTTTTTAGATCAAAGAAAACACGATGGAAGTATAGAGAACGAACGTAAAAGAAAAATAAATATATATCTCGCTACGTGACAGAATCAGAGTCAAGATAACATTCTGTACAATAGAAACAAATATATTTTACCGTTACAAATTGAAATGCGCAAAAACATTGAATTATTCGAAAGACGTCGTTTTTCTTGAATAAAGGTTTTCAGAAAAACCTCTGTAAAACTCTTAAAATCCGTCGTAAACAAAATAAACTATAGTGCATTCGATAAATTTGACAAAAATCAACTTTTTTTGGGTGGGGGCTGGGCCTTACAGACTTTTTCTTCATTACTATCCATTTGAAAATAGAAGGCGAATGATTACGAGTCGAATAACTCGGAAATGGAAGCAGTTATGGAGCTGCGGTTTTCACCATCAAAAAGCAGACACCGGAGCACATAGATCTATGGAAAAATTTCATTGATTAGTAATGGAACAATAGGATGAAAGCCTGCTGGACATCTTGAAGATAAATTTTGGAAGGCTTTTTTCGTTGGATTTTGAACTTCAATTAAACCATTCGATAGAAAAAATTCTTCTCTTTCGATCTACACAAGGCAGAGCTCAATAGCTTGCTTCATTAGGTAGCTATAAGCATTTTCCTGAGACTCCCGAAATCGGCCAGATGACGCAGAATCACCCTTAAAACCATTACATTATAAGTAATCGACCACGCTGAATTCATTGGTGAAGTTTGTTTTTGTATTTCAAAGTAATCTGAGATCATTATAAAAAAACTTTCGTAAATCTAGTTTTTACTGCTATTTGGCTTATAGAACATGTGCATTGAAAATCTCGATAGAGTGATCTCAGATTACTTTGGAATAAAAATGAACATCACCACTGAATTCAATATAGTCAATTACCTTTAATATAATGCTTTTAAGGATGATTCTACGTCATCTGGCCGATGTCGAGAGTCTCACGAAAATGCCTATAGCTACCGAATGGGGCAAGCTATTGGACTCGGCCTTATGGAGATCGAAAGAGAAGAATTTTTTCTATCGAATGATTTAATTGAAGTTCAAAATCCAACGAAAAAAGCGTTCCTAAATCTATCTTCAAGATCTCCAAGAGGCTTTCATCCTATTGGTCTATTACTAACCAATAAAATTTGCCCATAGATTTACGTGCCTTAGTGGCCGCTTTTTAATGGTAAAAACCGCAGCTCCATAGCTACTTGCGTTTCCGAGTTATTCGACTCGCAATCACTCGTCTTCTATTTTCAAATGTCGATATTAATTTGAGAGAATAGCCATAGTTCTCGAACTGGATAATGACAAGTATCATTGATATGCGATAATAAACAAAAGAAAAAAATTGAATTTTTCTGAAGGTAATTATTTGTAAATAGAAAAAAAGAAACTTACCAAACATCAATTTTTTCTGAACAAGGTTCTTTTTTAATAACTTCTGGTGCCATCCACGCACTTGTACCATTAAATGACATAATTTGACTTCGTCGATTAACTAATTGTTTACTTGTACCAAAATCAGATATTTTTAAAGTATTTCTATCAAAAAAAAGTATATTTGGAGATTTTAAATCTCGATGAACAATTTTATTTGAATGTAAATAATCAACACCATTTGATATTTGTTTTGACCAATCGAGAACTTGTGTAGCTTTTGTACATGAATCTATTTCACGATATTGTTTTAATACATCATATAATGAACCATTTGCACAATATTCCATAATTATATAATATGATGATGGTGATATTGAAATACCTAAACAAATAATGATAAAAATTAAAAGCAAAAAAAAATAAAATAAAATAAAACAAACCTCGAAATTTAATAACATTAATATGATTTAATTTTTTTAAATATTTTATATTTGTATCTTCTTTAGATTTGACTCGTTTACATGCAATATCTTGACCATTAAGTTTTCCATGAAAAACTGAACCTTCTATACCAACACCAATTAATTTAAGATTATTTACTATATTTTCAATTGGAATTTCCCAATCATCATTAGATTTTATTAATATACTTGTTGTTTCTTTATTAGATTTAATATTTCCACTAAATTTATTCATTGCAGATAAAAATGGTTTAAAACATCCAAAAAATTTATCAAGACAACTATTACTATCACCACTATTTCTATTTATATTATTTCGAACACCTTCATATCGTACATCATCCTGTGGAAGAGTATATATATTACTACTAGTTGTAATAGGAAATGCCAATATTGAAGATTTACGAAATATAACTGGTGGATCATGTTCACCTGTTGGAGTTGATGGAGCTGAACAAATTGTCAATTGAGGTATATCATCTTCGACTAATCTTGGAATATCATCTTCTTTCGAGGAATTTCTACTTTCTATTGAATTAATAGTTAATGAACTGAAAATAACAAACAAATAAAATATATCAGGGAATGAAAAAAAAAAACTAACTCAGGATCCATAATTTGTTCTGTAATACTATTCTGATTAAGTTGTTCAGATGATGAAATAGCATTGAGTACAGTTGTATTTGATGTTGAACTTAAAATAGCTGTTTCAGGATTAACATCAGGTGCGGGTGACATTTTTTTCTTAATTGAATATATATGTCCCGACTGGGACTATCTACATGGGACTTCTAAAAAATAAACCATACTTATAATAACTATTTATTTTCAAAAAAATCATTAGATCAATATTGTTTCTTATAGTTTTTGTTTTATGTCTCAATCAATAGTAACATTATGACAGCAAAGAAATAATTTGTTTATTTGTTTCTTTGTTTTAACCAATCAAATAAAATCTAAGCGCCGCGTATTTTTATAAATAAATCGAGGTAAAATTTCTATAAAGAAATAATAATCTTTATTTTTGAATTAAAATAAAATTTTCTTTAAAAAAAAGAAAATTCCTTATAAATACACTTATGAGTCACATTGAATATTGGCAAATATTCATTCATTGTTATCGATAGAGTAACGTCAACTTGACTTCTTAGTGCTTTTTTTTTTACTTCCGAGACAATCGATGGTTGAAGCACTCTATTGATATATTTACTGATAATAAATTATATAGTGATTCATACTCAATGAAAGTTGTTGATATGAAGTTGAAAGCAAAGCAAGAAAAGATTTATTTGATAAAAAGAATATTTCATTTAAGAAGCTTTTAGAATATCATTCAAAATAAATGATATTAATGAAAAATTAATTGATGATAATAAAGCATCGGAAGGTAGTAAAGCAGCTAAAAAATGATGATGCTGATCTTACATCATCAACAGTAACTAGTATTATGTTTTAACTCATAAATTAGTTTAAACGTCATTTGATAAAGAAACTTTTAAAGATTAATTCAAAAAAGTAAATTAGATTTATTTTAGATTCGTTGTTTTTTATTGAATTAATTTAGACTTTAAGATTAACTTGAATACAATACTTCACAATGTGTTCAAATATTTCAAACAAGCATAATTAAATGAGATTTATAGTAAAAGAAGAAATAGTAGGTTTTAAGTTGTAGATACCAACGATATGAGCTTTCCTTTTTTTTGTTTCGATTTAAGTCAAAAAAAGTTTCGATCCTGATTCCGAGCTTACTAAAATTTTTGTTGAAGTCGATTATTTTCCTCTTGTTCGATGTGAAATCTTATGGACAACAGCTTTTAACTAATATAGCAATAGTCAGTTATATACTTTAAACATTAGACCTAGGGGTGTGCAGTGTTTGTGTAAACACTGAACAGTAAGTCAGCGACATAGAGCACTGATTAAATTGGCATCGGTGTTTCCTGAAGTACTGACTAGACTAACGTTCATGTTGGCTACAGGATTGAGACATCAATTCTATGAAAAGAAACACTTTTTGTAGCGGTGTGTTCCGATACTTCATTGAATACTAGTATCTATGTAGTCAATGTGTGCTAACTAGACGGAGTCGGTAGTCGAGAAACTGAAACTACACATTCCTAGTTAGATATCTTGACTTATTTAAGTAAATAAAAGAAGTTTTCAATGATCGAAGAACGTGGTTTAAGAAAATCAATAGAAACGAACTAAGATAATAATTAAATTACGCAATGAGAACTAAATATATACATAATGAGTCACAAGTAACAAGGCAAATAATTTTTTCGATTTTTTCTTTGTATATATTCAGTTGGGATCTCAAATTTTTACCACATGTACTATTATCCATTTCAAAAAAGAATGGACTCGGTTGTTTGTTGAATAACTCGACAACACTGATAACTATCGAACTCGAGTTTTAGTCGTTAGAAAGAGCATGAATGGGAGTACAAGTTTACCCGATAATAAAAATATTTAAAAATTTTTCTAGGAAATTATAGGATATTTTGGAAAACCACTGTTTAATTCGCTTGACTAGCTATATTTTCAAGTGAAATTAAAAATTTAATATCTTGAAAAAGGAGCATCCTTTGTGGCTAAAAATTTTAAGACATTCTATGGACCATCATATCTATTTATGGGTAAATTTTCAGGCCGAAATTCCTTAATTTCATTTTCCGGTAAATACTTAGGAAAGGTCGATAAACGCGCAAAAATTTGGAGGTTTATAAAGTAGACATTGGTCTACAATATGGCTAAATTGAAATTGAAAATACAGCTAATCAAGCGAATCAAACAGTGGTTTTCCAAAAAATCCTTGGAATCCTCGAGGAAACTTTTCAAGCATTTTAATTCTCCTATAGACTTGTACCTCCACTCATGCTCTTTCTAACAGTGAAAATCCAAGCTCGATAGCTATCAGCGTTACCGAGTTACTCAACAAACAATCGAGTTCATTCTTTTTTGAGATGGATAATTGGTGATATAATTCAAAGATGCAAGATATGATCAATATCTAGTTATAGTAATTTGTTCAAAAGCGTACATATACTACTGGGCGATCAAAAGCAAGAAAACAAGTCTAAGTTCTAACAAAACGTTTTTTTCACAAAGCTTCCTCAATCTGTTCACCCTCTAAGTCTTTGCAAAATTGCAATTGCTCAGGTGCTAATTGACACACTCGTTGATATAATTTCATTGGCAAGGTTCGTCTTATTAATACGCTTTTGAAACAAGTTCTTGTATCTAGATAGTGATCATATACTGTATCTTTGAATTATACCAGTTAGGATATGTGGTAAAAATATTAGATCTAAATTTTCAAGTTCATATTTAAAGATTTCTCATAAATAATATTCTATAAAATGAAACTTTATTTATATTAAATCAAAATCAAAAAAGAAATATATTGTATTTTTGATGAAAATTTTGATATTATAATGATTCAATATGTATTCCATTTGATTTTGTTGTTAAATAGATTTATTCATCGGTTGCATGATGATTTTGATGCATGCTATAGTCATTGCGTGCACATTAATAGAATAGTTATATTGATAATTAAGTTAACGATGTTATTTTTTCTTTTATATTTATGTCATAATATTTAGTTTTTATTTGTAAAGACTTATTATTTATTTAATTTTTATTTTCAAATTAAAGATCGCAAAAAATAAGTTCATATTGACCAGATCTTTTACATCAAAGAAATTTAAACAATATCTTAAATAAAACATTCTTTTGTTCGCAAAACATATTGGATGATATACAAAAAAAAAAAATGTAATAATCATTTATTAATTCAATGATAAACGAAGCAAGAAATGAACCTATATGCCAAAAATAAAACAATGTCCCTATTATAATAAATCTAATTATTTTTTAAATATTTCGGTTTTTCAAAACGATTTTCTAGATTCTTCAAAAATGTTGAATAAGGACAATAATAATTATCACAATTAGGCAATATCTGTGGCTAGAAAACAAAAACAAAAAAAAAAGAAGATAAATTAAATTGAGTTAATCGTTTATTCTAACGACTGATGCAAAAGTCTTGGTACAAATGTCGAGGCCCGTAGTATTTCAACAGAAGGTGCTAGAGATCTAATTCTTTCACCATTAGATAGACCAAAGTGTGTGCTTTCAAACCCACTTTTTTCAAAAAGTTTTTGATGAAGTTAAGGTTTTCAAATTTCAAATTTTCAAAAACCACTAAAAACGGTTTGTAACTTTTGATCCTTTTTCGCGCTTTTTTTTAATTTAAAACAACAGTATTCTTGTCGAATTAATAGATAATGAGCTGAAACTTCCAGGGAATCAAGTCTGAAGTGTAGGGTTTTTCAAAATCTCACTCCGAAATTTGTGCGTATCCATGGTAATCCGCAATCAGGCTTTTAAGCGAAAGCACGGCAGTGTTGGGTTTTTGGTGCGCAGTTTAGGTATTTTTAGGAAGACAAAAATTTTTAATTAGTCCAAAAGATGCTGTTTTTCAAGACCTTTCAGAATCCGTATGAAAAACTGGGAATAGGCGTTTTCATCTCCTGAAAATCAGCTAAACACTACTAATGAACAAAATAGCGCTTTGGCACCAATTGCGTCATAATTAAATCCACTTATAACTCAGCCAGACTATGTTTGATTGAACCAAGCTTTTTTTTGAATCGTAGCTACTGAGCTACTAAATTTTTGTAGCACAGCGAAAAACTGTGAAACTTACATAAAGGTGTGTTATCGTAACATTTCCTAATTTCGCATGGTTACAAGTCGTTTTTAGTGGTTTTTCGAAAATTAAAATTTGAAAACCTTAACTTCATCAAAAGCTTTTTTCAAAAGGTGAGTTTGAAAGCAGACACTTTGGTCTATCTAATGGTGAAAGAATTAGATCTCTACCACTTTCTGTTGAAATACTACAGGTCTCGACATTTGTGCCAAGACTTTTGCATCAGTCGTTACTTACTTCATCAGCATAATCAACCGCAACATATGTTTCATTAGGATTTGTTTTTGATACATAATATTTCATAAAAATATATGAACCATAATCTGGCCATCGCATTTCAAAAATCTATGTACAAAAAAGAAAACACATGAATAAATTATTTCAAATAAAACATAAACTTATACTTCAAGTGCCATTGTTAAAGGAATTAATGTTGTATCATGACCAGAATAAACAAATAATTTTTTATATGGTCTAAATATTAGAAAATAAAAGGCTTTGACTAACAAAAAAAAGAAATTTCTATAAACTTTTTAATATTATTTTCTTTTTCATCAAGATAATTTTTTGCTATTGAATTAAAATTTTCTTTCATTAAATAAAGAAGTGGTCCACATGTTGAACGTATAAATAAATCAAAACCAATTGATGTTCTAAATAAAATATATTCGAATTCGAAATAATTTATTCAAAAAAGAAAAACAAAAAACATACGCCATTGAAACAAATTCTCGTGCAGACATTACTTCAAAATCTTTTGTTAATTCAAGAAACTTTTTTGGAATAGAAAAATTATGTGCCTAATTTAATTAATAAAGTACATATTTAAAAATAGAATTCAAAATCAATTCTACAAACTTGTCTTGAAACAAATTCATCATATAATTCAACAATTCCATGAGGATAATCTTCAACACCTAATAAAATAAAGAATTGATTGTAAAAAAAAAAACAAAACAAAGCTTTGAAAAAGAAAATTTTACCAATATGATTAATTAATGCTTGACGAGCTTTTTTTAAATCATGATCATCATGTAAAAATCTATATAATTCTAAAGCTGTATGACATTTCTTTAGAGCTGGATACATTTTTGAATTTGGAAACTTCACAAAAAACAAAAGAAATCTTTATTTTTTATTTAATTTAATCGAAGAAGAATTATTTACCATATCTTCATCTGGAAAATTATGAACTTCAATTTCGAAAGGACCTTTTTTATATAATAAATTTTTTATATTTTTCTATGTTTTATAATATAAAATACCTTTAGCTTGTATTTTATTATCGTCTTTTTCTGATGAGAATAGACCAGCAAGAAATGATCGAGCACTGGCTATAGTTCGATTCATATATGTTGATCGACAACTAGTAGAAAAATATATCAAGAAGATCAATACTTTCATTAAATATAATCCTATGTTACTTAAACTTTAATATCACTACTTTAGTTATTCATTATATTAGAATATCAAATTTTAGTTTAACAGATAACCTCGAAATCATACAAATTCTATCAAGTTTTATGAACATAGAGGAAAGGGTGACATTTCATGGACTACTTTTGATTTTAAATGACTTGCATGTAACACTTACACTCAAATAGTAATCATAGTTTCGTAGGATAACAATGACTCGATGAAATGAATTCTAGATTTACAAATACATATGTATTTGTTACTTTTGATATATGGGCAAAATCAGCGAAAATGGAACATGATCATCTCCTATTTGACTTTGATTCTTTAGAAGGGTTTACTTTTCGAACAAGTTCTTTTTCTACGAGTATATATATATATATATTGGGCCTTTCAGCTCGTGCTTAATTATCTAACTAATTAAATTGTAATTAGTGAATAACTCTCTAATCTAATAACAGATAAGCTCAAAGAATTTTAATATAGACTTTAAGCCACCAACGGTATATTGGTTAAATCATTCGTTGGGGACGTGATTTCGCAAAATTAAAATATGTGTATCATCGGAATAATGAGCTTTCTTAGATCTGATTTTTATATGTTATATAGACATTTAGTTACTCGAGATACCCTAAAAAATTCAGTGCTATGGAGTTTTATTCTGAGGAATTATTGGTAAAAAACTACCGTTAGCGACATAACATAAAAAAAAGGACATCGATTTTAAAACCCCCTAATTCATGCACAATTTTACAAAAACTAAATAGAGCATTTCGTAGACGACTTCTGAGGCTATAAAATCTATATGTAAAATTTTTTCTGAACATGCATAGATATTTCAAAAAAAATCGATTTATTCGTCGTTAGCGGCGTGACGTAGTACGACTACACAACCGAGAATATGCTCTTGTTACCAACTGAAAAGTTTCAAATAGACTTCAAACATTACAAATCATTACTCAGAGTTCCTCGATGATGATAAAACAAAAGTTTTCGTTTCTACACTTTTTAGGATCTTTAGAAAACCAGTTTTTTGGAAGAAATTTTTTGAAGCCTAATGTTGCTGAAAATTTCACTATAGATATGACTTATGCTCTAGAATCTATCCTGAGATTTTCAGATTTTTTCTCATTTTAGTTAGCGAAATATTCGCTAATTACTTTGTAATTAATAACCATGTGAAAGACTAAATATTTTCACATAAGTCTATGCTAAAAGAATTTATCCAAAAAATTCACTCTTGTAGAGAATAAAACTCAAATGAAAGGTGTAAATATCTTGTTTTGCCTGATATGTGATGTCATTTTCAGCAAGATTAAATTCCAAAAAATTGCAACATCAAAATCAGTTTTTTTCTAGAGGTTTACTAATGTCTTAGGAACAAAATTTTTTGCTTTGATATAATCTCGAAAGCCTCAATGAGAACTTGTACCATTTAGAATTGGTTTTTGAACTTCTCATTCAGTTACGAGATGATCTTTCATTCCTATATTCGTACTCACTCATATCGCTAACAACAGATAAATTCTGTTTTTCTTTTTGAAAACCAATACATGTTCAGGAAAAACTTTGGATAGAGTTTTTGTAGCCTGAAGCATCCTTCACAAAACGCACAAAATTTAATCTTCAAAAAACTATTTGAAGTTGCAGTATTTGTAGAGGGAAACACATGCAGTGAAAACCTTTGTTCTTTTTTATATCATATCACTAACGCTAGTTGTTCAATAATTACTCTAATGGAACAAATGTCTATAGAGCTGATTTTCCAAAATATCTAAAGTAACTAAACATACATTTGTTAGATAGAAATTATTTACAATGAAAGGTCTCCCAACTGATCCACACCGTTTTCAGTGATATTTTATCCATATGTTGGGGATAGTAAACTTTCTCCGCTCTAAAATAGAAGGCCACCCCCAAAAGTTTGATTCGTTAGACATAATAGAACGCCATGTAGTTCAATTTTGTACATATAGAGTATATCATAGATGGAAAAAATAGCAGTCACTCACATTGGTCACCTTTTTCGTTCTGTCGCTGACGGACGTTATCTAAACGAGAGAAAATTCGTTATATTGCTTTTTTTTCGTTCTGTTACATGACACAATAAATGGATATACGAATTTTCTCCAATGGATAACGTGCATCAGTGACAGAACGCAAAAAGTGACCAATCCGTATGAATGAGTGAGTGACTACTATTTTTTCTATCTCTATTATTTTACATATAGTCAAGATATACACGCGAAGAAACATATACCTTAGAGAAAGCAAACACTTAATTCGATTATTATTGAATTTAATCCAAAACTTGAATCAAAAATTGAACATAACTATAGGAGGAATTCTCCGAAAAAAATCCATAATAGAAGACTACCCGCAAAAGGCCGATTCACTTGAACGTAATAGAAGGTCATGTCTTTTTATTCTGAGAGGGGTACTCTAGAAAAAATCGTGAGAGAGTTTAGGTCGATGGTGTTTCCTTCAAAAGTTATGACCAATTTACTGATTTTTTTCACCTAGTACACGGTATATAGGAAAAAATTGAACAATGAAATTTCAATCTGAAATTTTTGCTTATATGTAACTCTTGTGGTCACTAGAACACTTTAAAAGTTTCATTGAAAAAAAAAATGTTTCCTTCTGAAGATATTGATTCTTAAAAACTTGTCTCATAATCTATAAAGTTCTCAAAGATTGACTTTTTTTAAAACTGAATATCTTCAAAATAAAACATTTTTTTCCCACTGAAACTTTTCGAATGTTCTAACAGCCATAAGAGCTACATATGAACAAAATTTCAGATTGAAATTCTGTTATTCAATTTTCCCCATATATCTTATACTAGGTAGAAAAACCAGTAAAATGATCATAATCTTCTAAGGAAGTACCATCGGCTCAAACTCTCTTATAATTTTTTCTAGAATACTATCCACGACATACGGACAAAATATCATTGAAAGCGGCCGGGATCAGTTGAAGACCTTCCTCTCGTTAGATATGGAGAACATTTTCTCTCTTCATTAAAATTGATCCAATAGAATATCGAAGTGTGATAATTAATCTGAATGTTGACTGAAACTATAATTAACCTCTTCATAAGTCTGCATCATTTGACGTGAAACACAAATGTTGAGAAAGTTTTGTAGATTTTTTTGATCCGCTGAATGTAAGAAAAATTGATTAGGTATCTTACACGAAATAAATGTTTTATTCAGTATAGAGGCTCAGAAAACGATTCTCTCCGAAGATTAACTTTATTATTCCAGAATTTTAGAGTCATTGACTCAAGAACTACGTGTTCGTGTGTTTGGAGTTTCAAACTATCCATTTTGAAAAGAAATTTTTCACAAAACATAACAAAAAAATCTGTCAAATCTAACTGAAACCGATTCTTTTTTGTAAGTGAATGAAGATAATATTTGAATATGATATACTAGACAATATTTGGATCATAAATATTTGGTATAAGTCCATTATTATCTTGTTTAATTATTTGAGATCTTATTAATTTTCCAAGTTGATATAATTGTTTTTCACCAATTGCTGTTAATTGTCCTGTAACTACTTTTACATCTGAAGCTGACTGAAAAAAAAAACAAAAACAAAGAAATTTTAAAAAATATTTTCTTTTTAATATTTAACAAACTTTTAATTGTTTAATTCTATCACCAATAATATCATTTGCTGATAATATTTTATCTTTTGATACAATATCATTACCTAATTTTGTAATTAATTTAATATCCCATTTTGATGGTGGATAAATTTCAATATGTTCTTTAGTATAAGATACCTAGAAGACAAGAAAAAAAAAATAAATAATTGAATTGTTATTATTTAAAATATACTTCTTCAAGTCCTGGTAATAAACTAAGTGGTGTCCGAGCGCCATGTCGAAAATAAATTTGTGCACCAATGAATTGTAAATTATCAGGAATTTTTGTATCAATTAATTTATTTTGAATTGTTTTTGAACGTTGACCAGTTGATGCCCAAGAAATTAAAGTATTTTCATAAGTTGATATAGATTTATTTGATGTTCTTAAAGATACATTATATAAACTTTCATAACATAATTTTAATAATATTGTTGATGTTCCTGTTAAAAATGACCACTTTAATATTGAATGATAAGCTGATCGCATAGCATCAGAAAAAAAAATCAAATATTTATTTATCTATAAGAAATATGAGAGATTTTTTTTGTTTTTTTTATCGTAGAACATTAATTTTCTAATGATATATTTAACTAACTTTACATATATAAATACAAATAAAAACATATAAATAGATAAGAACAAAATATATAAAATAAATGAGAGTTTAATCAATACTGTTTAACAAGAAAAATAAATAAATAATTTCTTCTTCGAAATGTAGACGATGAAAATCTACCATTTGATTAGACAGAACGATCAATATTGCTTGAATCGGTTAATGATGCATCGATAACTAAAATAGATTCAATAATTATTTAAATTAGAAATTCATTAAGCTTCATTTTTCCTATGAAATTTTTACACCCATGGATAAAAGTCTTTTCTCCCCCATCGGTTCTCAGTCACCATAAGAGCTAGAGTTCTGAAAATTTATGTGTACATACTTCACCAAGAATGTATGCCAGTGGCATCACCCGCACCTCGATTTCTTAAAAGAAAAACAGAGTTACGATGGATGCTGTCAACTTTTGCTTTGATCTTCATAAATTTAGGAGAGAAGAGCATTTCAAGTCAATAGATCCATCATGATGTGATGCTATGCTTCAACTATCTGTGATATAAATTTCGTGAAAGTTCATCAACTCGTTCAAGAGTTGTATTCATTTTTCTATAACCATCGGTTTGTAAAAACCTATATATTTTTCTTTGGAGATCCATAACTCCGTAGGAGTTCAATGAATTGACCTAAAACTTTCAGAGAAGATTGAAATTATACGTGTTCAAGAGTCTCTTTTTCTAGAATCATAATGATTTTATCGAGATTTAAGCTTTGGGCAAAGCATTTAGAAGAACCTCCAATTCCAAATTTCAGCTGTAAATCTTATCCTTAGTATATCCTAAAACTTTTCGTTAATATGAAAGCTTTCTTTTTAGTTACTGAGTATTTAAAAATCAATTATATTTCATAGAAATACATAGTTTTTTTTCTCTATTCCATATCTAGAGAAGAAAGCTCTCGTTTTAGTCGTTGGCATCCTAACAAAAGTGACGATAACATTTCGAAGGAAAACTTCTTGATCACAAAGTCGTTTGGATGAGTACCTATCATTTGTAGGGGTGCACAAAATCCAAATCCAGTCACACCCAAATCCAAATCCAAGTCAAACCCAGTCAAACCCAAATAAAGAATTGGATTTGGGTTTGACTAGATTTGGATTTGGTGCATGCCTAATCATTTGATCATAAGTTCTACTTCTCGAAATCAATTCCCAAATCATATCCACACATTTGTGGATATAATTGAAGGGTTGATTCCGAGAATCAGAATTTGCGATTGATAATAGTTGATAGTTCGGGTTGTTTTTTTTTGTATCTCATTGTATAGATGATGTAGAAACTTTTGCTCACGAGGAAAATGTTCTGATTTCTTTTTGCAGGTTTTTAAAATATTAAATATTAGTTCGAGAAACAATTGTCTTATGTCATTGCTTTGCATCATAGATTCCAATGAGGTGCGAGCTGAGTGCACTAAATTTCTCTCGCTCCGCATTATCTGTGGAAATTTGACGACTTGTTAACCTCTTTCACTTCCAGAAATTATCGAGTATTATATTAGGTTTCCTATTTTGTTTGATACAATACATTGACAAGAATAAAAATGAAAGGCTATATAGACAAATTATGGAATAGTGTAAAAAAAAAAGCAAGATATACTATGTTTTTTGGAGAGATTTACAATAAAACATCCGACTTCTTTTTCGAAATTATCAGTTCGCATTCAGTAAGTATTTTTCAAATAAGATTCGATTATACATACAGCTTAATGTTCGATTGATCGTTTCCAATTTATCAACAATTTGTTGTAATTCACGTAAGCTGATATCATCATCAGTAATAGATTCATTTGGTCTAGATGTTTAACAAGAAAAAAACAAACAAGTAAATCAAAATCAATCGATAATATTTTCTTTTACTTTAATTTTTCCAATATTCCAGATGAAAGTTGAATTAATTTAATTGCTAACCTTTGTCCATTATCACGTAATGAATCACATCGTTCCTAAAATACATGATTAATTTATTGATATTTGGAAAAAAGAAAAAGATTTTCATTACTTCTTCAATACTAGAAGCATTTGTACTTGTTTTTTGATATTGTTCGTCATTTGTGACAATTGATATCATAGCATTTCGATATCTTGATGATGTTTCTTCATGTAGTTTTGGACTTTCGGATGTAGATCGATGATTTGATGAAGATGATATTGTTCGTGTTGTTAACATATCTTGTCGTGGAGATGTTATATTTGTTTTTGTTGTTGTTTGAGGATTTGATCGTAAATTGATCAACTCTTTTTTACTATTGCTACTTGCATCACTATCCAATGATGTACCCATTATATCATTTTGATGATCACTTTTATATAATTGTTTTGTTGTGCGTTGAGATAATTCTTCGATTTTTGCTTGTGCGCGTGCACGACGTAATTGAACAGTTCGATTTATCTGTCTATTTGAATTAATTTTTGATGAAATTGTTCTAGTTGATTTTGAATTTTGACATGATAATGTTTTTGATAAAATTTGTTGCTGTTGTTGAATTGGTTTTGATGTTGATGATAAAATATTTGAACTTTGTTGACGTAATATAAATGTTTTATTCATATAAAATTTTGTAAAATTTGGTTTTATTTCATCACAATCATTATTATTTGTTGTTAATGATGATGAAGATGATGAAGATGTCTGTTGTTGATATTGAGAATTGGTAGATGTTGTTTGACATATGGTTGAATTACGTTGAAATGATTCTAAGGAATATGTTTGTTCATTTATAGTTGTTTGTGGTTGAATAGATGTTTCGATAGAAGGTGATTGTTTTTCAAGATAAAATGAATATTTTTCTATAGGATTTTGATTAGAACGAGATGATAATGGAGAAGACATTGATTGATTGACATTTGGATCTTTAATAGGAATAGATTTTTCTGTTAATTTTGTTCTAAATTAAACGAATTTATTTATTAGAAATAATTCAAAAAATCAAATATTTACTTCTGTGAAGTATCTCTTTTTCGTCGATGAATATTTTTAGTTGGAAAAGGTTTTGTTTCCAATGTTGGTGAAATAACTTAAATAAAAAGAAAAAAACATAAATAAAAGTTTTCTTTATTAAATATTTCACCAAAATATTCGGCTGGTTTTATTTGATTTTGTGATGATGTTATCGATTGTTGTTGTAAAAAAACATTTGATGTATCAATAAGACCATTAGAAGATTTATTTTCAAATGTATCTTCAAATTCTTTATGTATGTTATGATCATTTTCATTTGAAAATGAAAGAAATGATGATGATGATGAAATGAATTCATTTGTTGAAATATTCGAATCAATAATAGGACGATTAATTGTTTTTGTTGTTGATGATACTAATTGATGTATATCAAATGTTCCATGACGATTTTTTATTTGATTTACATATCGTTTAAATGTTGATGAAGAATTATTTTTTTGTTCTAATTCATCATCATGTGCAATATCACCATCATCTTCAATTATATAAGTACCAGAATCACTTAATGTATCAATATCATGATGATCTGATGATGAAATGACGATATTTGATGTTTGATTATCACAAAGTTGAATATCCGATGGACAATGAAAATTTTCTTCATCTTTAGTTGTCATGTCAAATGTATAAAGTTGCTAGAAAAAAAAATTCATATTGGTTTGACAATTTTTTTTTTGTTGTCGGATCTTACTGGTTTTATTAATGTACGATAAGAATCTTTTTTGGAAGATGAAAAATCTAAAATAATCTAAGAAGATTAAGTTATTAAAGAAAATTTTTCTCTCACCTAATGTAAAAGAATATTTCGGATTCTAAACGAGAAAAACGAATAAATATTGTTAATATTTGTAATCTCTCTCTCTCTCTCATACATACGTCTTTAGGTGATTCATTTTCTTTTGTTTTCATTGTTGTTGATGCATTTCGAAGACCATTTTGATTATCTACATAGACGCCGGTCATAATCGGTGACTAAAACAAAGGAAAAAAAAACACAATAGACTATTCAATAACGTTTATTTTCATTCATTCGATCTCACAAACTCTTTTTGTTTAGTAAAGAAAGAAAGAAAGAAATGTAAAACAAAGTCATCCGTACAATGAATTTTTTTTGTTCTGTTTGTCATATTAACATATCTTACCGCATGTAGATGACAGTATGAATGATTAATTGTCAGTAATACTTAATTCAGATGATGTTAGCACAAAATATTGTTGTGATAAAAAATTGTCTAGTGCCATTGTTAGTAGATTATGAAGAAGTAACATTAGTAATTAACTAACAATAATCAGTTTTCCAAGACATTGGAAAGAAAATTAGTATTTTTATAATGAGATGATAAATGAGAAGAAGAATATCAGAAAATAGATAGGGATCATCTAGAAAGAGGATCGAATATGATCATTATCTTGTTCTCTCATATTTAATCAATATGTGCTTATGTTCAACATCATTATAACATAAAGATATAACAACTATATATGTAAATGGTGATCTCGATAAAGTCATAGAAGAAAGCGTATTAGTATCTTTTCTTCTTGAATGGAAACTGATTCTTTAAAAATCGAATCCTCACCTGAAAATGATTTTGACGAAATTGACGTAAAGAATTTGCCCATCGTTGAACATTTATTTGATCCATCGTACTATTTGTAATAAATAATTTGTCTTCTCTCTCACAATTTTTTTTTTTTTTATATACTATTTCAAATAGCTCTCTTGCGTGTTCATATGTTCGATATTAAATATAAGAAAAAAAACCTTTTTATCTCATCATCATTTTTCAAACTCAGCTGCTCACACTCGAGCAAATCAGTCAAGTGTATCAACACATACACACACATACGTAATAAAAAGAAATTTATTGATGAATATTTTTTTTTATTTTTATTTTGAAAAGATCTAGACAATGAGAACGCACACAAAAAAAAATCTGCAATGATTAATAACATGAAAAGAAAATCAATGAACTTGAAATTGATCTTCTCATCATTATTAACAACATGGAAAAAAAAGAGACCAAGTCAGTCACAACAAAAAAGAAAATTTTTTTTTTTTTTTTTTGACTTTTTAATAGCATAATCCGGTACGAAAAGAAAAACATATTGATATACGTATTATATACAAAAAAAAAGCCAAAAATACGCACATTTATCTAATCTAATACAACAATATCGTCATCAACATACGAGACAAAATTTGTATTGAGCTTTTTCCATGGGGCACGCGCAATACGACGAATTTCTTTTTGAGGAATTTCTTTTCTTAATCGTCTAAAATTCATCAATAAAATTTTTATTTAAACTAAACATTTAAATAAAATTTACTTAATATCTTTTGTTACACGTAAATAAATGCCATCGGGAGCTAAAATAAAATATCCAATAAAAATTATTCTATTAAAATCTATTCTAAATTAAACTTACGATCAACAAATGGAACAGTATAAGCACGTGAATGTGATAATTTTACTGGGTTCTAGAAAAAAATAACATCATTATACATAGATTAATGTCATGCCTATTCAAAAAGAATTATCATATACGAATTTAATAAGTAAATTGAATACAGAGATCTACGAGAACGGGAATCTGACATCAAGAATAGAAGAAATAACCAATACATCGATAATATCCAGCTCTTATTTCAAAAATATATGATACAGGACTCAGTCAATTTATCGTCAATTATGCAATCTTTTATAGAAATCTATGATAACTACAAACTACATATGATTTTATTCTTATACATACTAACGTATTAAAAATACAGATTATACTAGAAGTAATCAATTACTAAGAAAAACATTGAAAAAAAATCTAACGAAATGATAATTTAGATCATTTGGTTCTAATAGTTTCAATAGGAGTGAATATTTATAATGAAATGCAGTTATAGTTTATTTAACATAGTCCTATAATTACCAGTAAATACTATATCAAACATATAATACGTGAGTCACTCTGAAAATTTTTCAAATTCTTGATTAAATTTAATAGATATATATGAGTTTAATAGTTGTAATAGTAGATCCAAGTCTTAGAGTAAAATCCACAAAATTTTAGCTCTTGGATATTTCTCCTTTAGTTTTGTTGTAGATTAAGTGATATTAGGTTGAAAATAATATTTCGCCAGGGGCTATCGCTAGAATTTTAAATAGAGTAAATGTTGAATTTTATACCAAACAAACATTAGAAAATTTTCATAACTCTTCTTGTTTAGTACCAATAAACCTCATTTTTGATGAGCTTTCGTTTGGTATAAAACTCATTATTTACTCTATTTAAAACTATAGCGATATCCCTCGGGCAATGTATAATATCACTTAATCTACAACAAAACGAAAGGAGAAATATTCAAGAACCAAAAACTTTGTGAACTTTCTTATAAGACTCGGGTCTACTACCACAAATACTAAATTAGTATATAACTATTAAATTTAATCAAGAACCTAAAAACTTTCAGAGTAACTCACGTAGAACCATTTCTTCAGCATGATTCTTCCGCAAGACATTATATTAAATTATACAACGAAAAAAAACAAGACTATTGTTTATATGAAAGAACCAAATATTCAAGTTATAAGATGTGATCAGTGTTCATTTATGATTCTAGATATTGCTTCAGTCGAGTATTCAATTAGGAGAATCATGACTAGGGAGCTGCAGGTCCTTCCATACTCGGACCTGATCCGAGCCCGAGTCCAAAGTTTTATTTTTGTGTACTCAAAAAGTGAGTACACTCTAGAATCGGTCAGTGTGTCCGGCCGTCCGGCCGTTAACACGATAACTTTTGAAAGGAGAGTCCGATCGCGATGAAATTTTCTACACAGTTTAGTCTTAACAATATCTCGGTCGAGTTCGAAGATGAGAATGATTGGCCGAACCATTGCTGAGTTATAGCAAAAATAGTCATTTTTCCCTATGAGAAGATAGACCCTTCTCTACTTTCATAAAAAACTTTTCCTATCATAGTCATATAAAACTCCAACTATTATATACCATTCGATAGAGAATTTCACGAGCTACAAAATGGTATATAAAACATAAAGAAACAAGAAAGCCAACTCAGCTATTGCAAAGATAATTAATTGGAATTCGGTTCTGTTTTTGTCACGCTCTAATTGATCCACAAATAGAGCTCTATCTTTCGATCACAGAGATGATAGTTCGAGGTTTTCTGGGGTGGAGAACTCGAATCTGTGCTCTATTCGCCTCGAAATCCCATTGGTTGAACAGTAACCAATAGAAATCAAGTTATAGGAAAAACGACTTTCTTAGGATAAATCAAGGTGAAGAGTTCAAATCTGAGCTGTATTCATCCCCAAATCCTATTGGTTGAGCAGTAGCCAATAGAAATCAAGTATTTATAGAAAAGGTTTGCCAGAATAATTTTTATATCCCCATATTCTAGAACGACTCATCTGTCTCATTCACTTTTTGAAGTACACATAACTCTCGGATTTAAATCCGAAGTTTCCGCATTTATTTTTGTTGGACCCGGTTACACGTTTTTGTGGATCCGCTGCTCTTCAGATGAGACATACAGTAACGAGATATAACTGTATGTTGAATTTTTTTCTAAGAGTAGCGAATAAATAGCTAAAACTTTGATCCTTTATTTGTTCAAGTACACAGAGTGTGGCAGGTATTGATGGGAAAAATCTCGGGTTTGGATCCGGGTGCACAAAAATGTGGATCCGCAGCTTCCTAATCATGGCAAAGCGAGTAGGAAAAAGTAATGTATCAGCATTGAATGGCCTGAAAAAGCTTGTCAAACAAGAATGACAAAATTTTAAGATGAGGAAAAATACAAATTTATTTACCACATGGAATTTAAATCCATGAAATATCATCATTTCACAGAGATGAATTCTCAATTGGAAAAAAAACATGACGAAAAGAACAATTTAAAAAAAAAATTTAAGCGAGAATCAAAGAAATCTGCTCCCTTTGACTTCTAGCTGAACTTCTGCTATGACAAGACTTGCATTCGAACATGAAATTCAAGATTTTTCATTTATTTGTGTAAGTATTAGAAGAAAAAGTTTGCAGAATCAACAATTTTCTACAAGATAATAATTCGATCAAATTTGTATGCTTTCTGATTAGAAGTTGGTGACAGTTTTATGTATAGTTAAGATCAAAGATCGTCCTGAATCGATTCAATTTCAGTTGCGATACTCAATAATACTGTAATTATTGAGTAGTTATCCATAGTGAATATCAACATTCCTTAACATTGTAAAGAACTAGTTGCTATACAATTCTAGATTTTTGTCAACATTCTGTTAAATTATACATCTTTCGTGTCACGATAAAAAAGAATTCTAAAAATTCCGAATGATCTATCTTAGATTTTAAAGTACTAATTTAGATAAGTTTTAGAAGAATTGATCTCTGTTGATATTAAAATTCTGAATCTGTTAATAAATCTTTCTATATGAAAAGAATGACTTTAGAAAATTAAAGAATCAGTGAAAGATTGCAATATACTTGCATCTTTCCTATTGTCTTTAATAGTTTACTATACTCATTATTGAGATGAACAGTAAAAAAAAGAAATTCACAAAAGTATTATCCATGCACTTTTAATTTGTTTGATTATACACCTTCAAGGAAAACAATCAATGACATGATTAATGCCGTTTTTCGGAGATATGAATGATAGACAACTTAACATTCTATTAAAGATCTATAAAAACAAATTGTCATTTGTTTGTTTGACTTACAGGTGATTTATTTTTAATTAAATTTTGTCGAGTAATTAATGTTCGTTTTGGTGATGGACCTATCAAAGACAAATAGAATTGAAGTTTTTTTTTTTTTTTTTTTTTTCTTTTACCATCATTTGAATTTTCATTTGATTCATAAGGCCGTTTTTTCATAATACTTATATTTAAATGAGTAAATTGTGCATAAAAATCGGCTGAATTATCTTGTAATTTTGGATAACGTACTGGTAAATTTGATTCATTATGATTATTTATTTTTTCTTCATATTTAGGCATATAATCATCGAATGTTTTATTTGTTTCATTCTCATCTTTATATGGAAATAAATCGTATAAATGTTTACATTTTCTTTGTTCATTTTTTTGTTTATATAAATTATGAAGACATGTACATATATTACGAATATCACGTGATGGTTTTTCGTTAATAAATATTTCCCATTGATGAAGTATATCATTCATATCAGTTGTAAATGATAGACAACGTGCAAGATGTCGAATTGAACATAATGGACGAATAGCACGTGATAATGGTGTTGTATATAAAGCAAATGTATTACGTGGTTTTGATAATGGACGTGGACTACCAGAACGAAACATTATTCCATGGGATATGGCATAATGACGTTGAAGAGCAGCTTTATTTTTATATTCCTAAATAAATTGAATTTTTTATCTTTAGTATCTTATTAAATAAAACTGGATTAGTTGTGTTCATGTCTGAGTATAACATAACTATTTCTGAACAACAATCAAATCATATGTCGCTATCTTTATAAATAAATATTCAAATTTAGACGATTCTAAATTTATTTCGAAGCGGGACACTTCCACCCTAGGACAGATCTTTGCTTGAAGAATCTTTTGAGGCTAACTTTGAAAAAAATCAATAAGACACAGCAACATTGAACAAGAATACGCAAATAGAAGTTGAAAGAGAATTTTAAGAGGTCATAAACGTTCGATATACTTTAACCCTTAGACAGAGGATGGTACAAATATGTACTACTTTTTTGTTTTCGATCGCAGAACTATGGGATCAATGACTCTGCTAGAAAGAACGACAATATTGCGATGACCTCGTTGCTTATTTTATATCGCATGCGGTTGTTGCACCATCTGTTTGATATAAAACAAAGGTATGAGTGTGAATCTTTTATTCATACTCAAGAACATTCACACCCTCGTGCATGATGATCTCGATCACGATCTATTTGACTGCATCGTCGGCATCAAAAGAACTTAGTTATCCAAAATTCGTCCATCAAAGATTTAACTAAAAAGGCGTATACTAGAGTCATACGAAAGTATTTTATACTGATTAGAACCTTTTCTAGCAAAAAGAAATCAAGAATTTCTTATAGTTAAGAGTCTTCGAATGAAGATAAATTCTATTCTATATAAATTTTGTCAACATACCTTTTCACAACCATTAACATTACATTTATAACTAACCAATTTAGTGATAGTAGCAGCTCGTTCTAAAATAATTCTTATAAATAAATTAAAAAATATTTTCAATAAAATTTTCCATACCTTGTCGTCGATCAGGACCTCAAATTCAATATATAAAAATCAATATTATTTATTTTTCTAACTCACAATGCAGAAAAAATCTTACCACTTTTTTTCAAATATTTCAAACCACCTAATTTCTTATAATAAATCCAACATTCCGCACAAAGTCTTGTATGTGGTTGAGCTGTACTCCATTGATACCATTGCAATGATGACGTTGCTAAACGAAAAAAAAAAATCAAAAAATATTTATGTATAATCGTTCTACATTTGATATGCACATACTTCCACATGATTCACATGGTTTAATTTCATTTTGTATTCGTTGTGGAATTAAACATTGATGTGCTTTATTACTATTAAAAAAACAAACAAAATAATCAAAATATGAATATTAGAAAAATAAAGTTCAATACGAACTAATTTGGTATAAAAACTTGTTTTAATTTATTTTCTTGTTCAGCTAATTTTAAACGTCTTTGAACAACATAACGATCTGTTGTTTTCCACATATAATAATATTCAATAATACCTTTTAAACTTTTCCATGGTAACTAAAACTTCAACATGAATTTTCATTTCTTAAAAAATATTTTTTTTTCTTACGTATTCTTTTTGTATTTCACGAAAATCTTTTCCACATTTTTCAACAGCATCTTCAAATGAATTAGCTTCAGCAGCAGACCAATCTTCCATTTGATCTTTAACAAGTATTGGTCCTGTATTTGGTACTAAACTACATGTAGCTAAAGCTAAATCATAATGATGTTTATGTAATGTATCCATTGCAAAAAACTTTAAACAAATAAAAAATATTTTAATCAATTAAAATAAAAAATAAATTCTTAAATTTTGTTTTTTACTAATGTTGCATCACGTGATGCTGATGCTGCACTCATATGAAGACTTGGATGTTTTAATGCTGTTGGACAATCAAGTGCACGAGCAAATGTACCGATGGATCTAATAAAATTTATTTTAATAGAATTTTTTTTAAATTAAATAAATAATGAATACCTTGCAACAATTAAATATTGTTCAATTTGTTTTTCTGTTAAACCACCATTTGCATTCCAGATTAAATCTTCTCTTGATGATAATGTGTCTTTAAAAACAAAAATAGATTTATTTATTAAAATAAACAGTAAATGTCGCGAAATCGCCAAGATTGAACGAGGGGAGTTACATAGTGGACAGTAAGGCAACGAAATTGATTTTTAATATTTGAATCGAAGTTGCAGCCGGCATTAAACCTGCTATGAATCTGCATTTAACTTCTGATTGCAAACAAGTAACCATTTTGTAGCAGATAATACAAAGTAGGTAAAATAGATGAATATCACTAATAAGCTTCTATAACTAAAATTTCTGTTTGACAATGAAATTTTAGTGATATTCATTAGATATAATACAGTTATTTAGCGTTATATGTTTACTTTATACTACAGATCTTTTGAGCTTTCTGAATTTCTTTCTGTGCCACTAAGGCTCAAAAGCTACACGTAGTATACCAAAGCACACCGACTGGTGAATAATGCAGTTCTTTCGTCGAATTTTTCCGAGACTTTTATTATTATAATTTTAATTTCCTATCGGATATAGCATATCACTATACAACTTAATTGGATGCGCAAAAATGTGAATCCAAACCCTAATAGAGATACATTATCCCAAATATAGCCTTGAAAATAGATCGGTCCTAATTGACTTCTACTATGGTTACTTATCTTTCAGATTGTCAAAGCTTTAAATAAGCCATACAAGCTCAAACATATAAATTTTCAAAGTTTTTACATCAATGGTTTGGTTCTAAAGACAATCTACAAATAGTTTTCAACTTTGGAGTTATTATTGACAAATGTTGATAACTTACAAAGGAGTCTCTCCATGTGCTAAATTACTTCTGGATCAAGTTGATGTTAATTCAATGAATACTAGCAACTGATAAAATAGTCTAGAATGATTTAGATTTCAAGGTTCTCATTCGTACGAAATCAAACTTTTACTGAATTTCTCAACAAAGTTTTGTAGTCCTTCTCAGTTCAACTTGCAACTTTGCACAAATAATTTTCATATTAGTACTAGTTTATTTTGAAAGTTTGAGTTTTTCCTCTCGTTAGTTCTATCTTGAAATATGAATATCAGAAATATTATCGTGTGATCCAGTAAATGTTGTCCTTATATTCGTATTTTATGATAGAAACAACTATAAAGGCTGAAATTTTTACAATAAATAAGTTTCATTGAAAACATGATTTGGTAAAATAGGCTAGATAAGCATAGATAAACAGTATCAAGGATGATACATAATTACACAAAGCGCCAAGTTATTAGGTTCAGTAATTGTTCCTGGCCCTCGTTTTCCGTGCACTGTGAGTGATCCCTGCCCTCGCTGGACACACCGCTCGAAATAAATATTTTATTAATACCTTGGTTTGCATCATTAGATAATGGTTGAATCGATACATCAGCTTGATATTTTCCACCAACCCGAATTTCACCTCGATCAGCATTTAAAGTTTTTTGATTTGGATCATAAACAAGTTGATAAAAAAAAAGATCCTTTAAATAAATAAAATAATAATAACAATAATTTATTTTTATTTTTATTTTCTAATAAAACCTCAGAATTAAGATATGATGAAAATGTTTCAGTTTCATTATGTAGAACAACTAAACATTTTCCACGTATATTTGTTGCTAATAATGTTTCATTCTGACGTGTTAAAAATAATTCACGATGACGTAATTGATGTTTTTGAATATCATTTAATTCAATTTGTTGCCCACTTAGATTTGTTGATCCTGTATCATTTGTTATTTCATCCTCATCTTCCCATGGAACTTTCGAAAATAAATAAATAATCAAAAATAAATGTTTAGAGGCAAATTTTCAATCAAAAATACCATCGAGTTTAAGACGATCAACTTGATTGATTAGATATGAAGAGATATCACGACGACGATAGAAACAAGCAACACGTGCTTCAACATTGCCATTTGGGGTCTAGATTAAAATAAAAAAAGAGATATTGGAAAGTTCTTGTTAATAATGATAACTAAAGTTGACTCAATGTTCTCTAGGGTAGGCAAAATTTGTAACCTTTTATATTAAGAATGAAGAATAGAAGTTATTGTCTTATGTTGCCAAGAAACAAATGCGAAATTTTCCGAAGATTCCAGAACGTGAATACCTCGTACGTGAAATTTACACGCCAGCCTTGATACAATTTTATCAGGACCATCCCCAAGACATTTTCATATAAAAAAAATCATTTAAATTTACACCCATATTTGATATTGAAGGTCAAAAAATATCAGAACTTATTCTTTTATAATTTACCATAACTTCTAGACTTATTTTTCGATAGAATATTACAAATTTTCATTGAACTTGGACAGAAACGTACTTCAAAAAAATGAACTATTAGCCTCATGTTCTCTGTTTGACATTAAAATAAATACTGAAATTCAATGTAACAAATTCACAACTTTTATCTGTCCATGAGTTATTAAAACGATCTTTCAAATTTTTAGTCATTGATAAGTAGTCTTATGGCGTCTGCGATACAGGCACATTGCATTTTGTCCAAGTATTCATTACACATGAAAATTCATCACACGTACTTTATTTAATTCTTCAATTCGTCGAATTATATAAGGTTCTATTGGATTTCCTTCGAAGTAGACGTAATCTAAATAATAATTTAGCAAATCGTAAAACTAAATAAAGCAAATTATTACTCAACTTACCGCCTACACGATACATGCACGAAGCCATTATTTAATATTACAGAAAAAAAATTCACTAGGGAAATTCGTCCATTATACTAAAAAAAATCAGATGAAAGATTTAATTGGTTCAAACAGAAATTAATTTTTTTTTAATTATAAAAAATTCCGAGTACAATAATGTATTTTGAGCGTGTATGTTATATATTAAAGAGACTAGGATTGTTATTGTTCAAATTGACCTTTTCAATCATGTTAACTAACAATATAGAAGTTAAGGAGAATGTATTATGAAGACGAAAAACATTTTTTCTTCCAAAAGTTAATTTATCAATATTTATTTCTTTTGTTCAAAACAAATATTATCGAGATTCATAAAAACATGAGACATTTTTATCTCTTGAGTTATTCGATTTGAAGATACGTTTTGTTTAGAAAAAACTAATAATACAGTTTATTATTCTGACAGAATGTAAAAAATAAACAAAAAAAAAAGAATAAAGATGACTGAAGAAGACAAATCGATCGATAATTAATAAGAAAACGAAGAGACATATGGAACATTTGTTGAACCCTATCAAAAAAAAATTAAATGAAATTCGAAAAATTTAGACGAAAAATAATCTAGAAAATTTTAATGTACGATTGAAAATACAATAAAATAAAACTAATTCAATAGAAAAAACCCATGCGGCCATATATTAGCGCCATCTACTGAAACATTGTTGTCCGGCTTTTTTTCGATTTTTAATTGTAAAAAACAAGTTACATACGGGAAAAGAATACACAATATTATATTTGGTTTAAACTCAGAAGATTTAATCTAACAGTTCGATCTTGTCGGATCCTGTAAAGTCCTCTCGGATTTCGGTTCGTTTTTATGAAAATTCTATGAAATCTGGTGCTATCCTCTTAGAATATTATCGATAACAGAGTAGCAAAATCACATTTGGATCTCTAGGATTGGAATTTGGTCGGGCGCCACCAATAGTATCTCATCATATGCGAGTGTCGCAGTAAGATTGAGTTTTGCCGTAAAAATACATTAGAACATGATAGACTACAGAGCTGTTTATAAGGCAGGATAGGATTAGGCATTTATAACCTGCAAGTCTGAACACCTAATTTTCAAGTTTTCATCTTCAAAAAGAGCGATTTTTGAGTGTCAAAAATCGAAAACAAACTCTAGAGAATCATACCAACTAATATGCAGAGTTTTCATCTATAGATGTAAATTCGAGTGAAAATGATAGAAAAATAAATAAATAAATAAAATGGCCATTGAAAAATTGTATTTTTTTTTCTTATTTTCGTTCTTTTGCCACATTAACGTAAAACATTAACTTATGAGTTCTATATCATTTGATTCTAATGATGACATCCTCTTCTTCAAATTCTTATACTCCTGAACAATTCAAACAATTCTTATTGAAAAAGACCAAAAATTTCATCTTCAAAATGGTGATTCAACAAATGTATCGACGCATTGAAGATTTACTTTTGAAATATGTAAACGTTATTGCTATTGAACTCGATTGAAAAATACAATTGAGACAGAGCATCGGCTTTGCAGAACAGGGTACGTTCTTTTTCCAATGCATTTTTGATAACAGGACAGAGTGAGGCTAGGACAAGCAGGGTATAAAAATATTACCTTGTGGGCATCTCTGATAGACTATCATGAGCATTGACCACATTCTAAAAACAGAGACTTTGTAATGACTTACCTTGCTTAGATGAGGTAACTCATCGTTGTATGTTACCAGATATCATTGCCAGATTTCGGTGGATACCTACCGTATCTCATCCGTCGGCTCTGTTACTGATTCTATCATAGCATTTTCATAGGCGTCTTAACAAATATTCAATCCCATAGGATATGATCGAATAGCTCTGAATTTCGTTGAACGACATTCCCTCTCACAATAAGCCTTTCCCAACGGAAAAAAATTAATTAACTTGAAAATTTTGAGAAAGAACTTACATATTTTGATTGCTCAACTTCGATAACCTTTCTTAAAACTTCATTAAAAATCATTAGTTTCACGAAATTGATTGTGTTTATTGAGTTTCATGAGTCCTTGCTTGTTTCTTAATGACTGCATGTGACTGAATTGATGCCTCTATATTTTTATACAAAAGTTATTCCATTTACTTTGAAACCAAATAAAAAACTTTTTACTCTTTGATCATTAATGGCCATAGCAGATTAATTTACAACGCTTTGATCAATTCTCGAAAGCGTGATTGATAAAGTGGACTATGAATGATCCCATGAAATAAACTTTGAGTATAGTATTATACACCGATCAAAAGTCAATCATTTCTAGAGGCCATTAAGCTGCTACGATCAAATCATCAGTTCGATGACTCATGATAATTTTTTCCGGATAGTGCGACCGAGAAAATATTTTTATAACAGATTGAAAAAGAAAGCTCTTTTTCGCCCGTATAGAGATTAAAACAAGGACTGGGGATGTTGTAACGCCATCTTAGCCATATTAGAAAGCAAAAGTAGTTTGGGTTCGAAATTTCAGTAAGTGTTCAGGCCAAAGTTTCGAGTCAGTCCTATAAGCCTCGTGTCAAACTACCTTCGCTTTTCAATAGGGCCAAAGTGATCTCAAAATTTTTCCGGCCCTTTGCTTTGTTCTTGAAACAATTTGTCTCATCTTCGATAGGTGTATCTACTTAAGTGAACGTCTATAGCACATTATCAAACTGCATCTCATATGATTAAAACTTTCCATTCGAGCAGATTCCGATCGATATTGCTAATGACAGGTACAGGTGTGGGTAGGTGTTGAATGTGGATAAAAATCATTTTTCTCGTTGTGTCTCAAAACCAAAATCAATACTCAAATACCAAAACCATATCAACTACCAAAATTCAACATCAAAAGTTCAAAACTAGTTTTAGTCTTGGTGTGTGCTTAGGTATACCCGTATTTGAAACTCGATTACAAAGATATTGGTTACCGTTCTTCCCAACATTTGCGTCTTGAAGATTTCATCAATAAGTTCATCAAGTTTACCCTTGAAGATTATTAATTGGATCAGGTCTATCGTGAGGAGTTTAACCTGACAAAAGTTGATCTTCGATTTCTTACCATGTTGAATTGCAGGTAAACGTTATAAATAAGTCAGGTCTCCCATATTTTTGATCGATTGTCATTACATATTGATAATTCTATTGTATTTCTCTAGGACTTTCTTTAAAGTTTGAGAGAAGAATTATTATCTGTTGAAGTTTTAACCATTCTATTTTCGCTTCATTCGTCGAATGATTTATCAGATCTTTATCTAGCTCTACTTGAAAATTCTTTTAATTTTGCCGATGGACTGCAAGATCAATTTGCTTAGTTTTGACGTAGGTATTTACAATATATTGCTGGAATAATTTTGGATGTGTGTGAAGGAGTCATCAATAGACACATCCAACCCGAAGCAGAAAATCGACAACAGTTCACAAATTAATCTGATGTTCTACGTATGGTATTACTTATGACAGGTAAATTATAGAAATCCATATGAAAAATTGAACGAAGAAAAAGAAAAAAAAATAATTTGAAGTAGTGTTTGGAAGATGTGGATTTTGCAGCTTGAAAAATATTGTTCCTAAAGTTTTTATGTAACTCTTGATCTTGCTCAATCTGTTCGCTTTTTCGAAAAATGTATAAAATGATATTCATCTTTTAAAATACCAAGGGTTTCAACATAAAAATGGTCAAAATATTCATTGCCCGCCAGCTTGATACTTAAGGCTAGAGAGAAACCTTTATGAAGCAGAAGTAAATTTGACAACTTAAATACCCTAAATGAATTTAGTTTCTTCTCAAATACAGATAATCGAATTGTTTTGTATTTCATTATTAAAAAAACAACGAAAAGATACTAGTCAATGTTAAAACTAACAAATGATCATACTAAAAAATTGTTTGAGCACATAGTACATATGTTTCACTTTCTAAATAAAACATTTAACAATGAACTTTAAAAATGCTTCTACTGTCAGACTGAGTCAAGGCATGAATTGCCAGAAGATTGATCAATTGACTCAACTTTCTTGAGAACAACATGAATCATGCAAATGATGATATGACCTTGTACGGTTGAACTTTTAAAGTAGGGCTTACACCCGATTCAATAAAAGTAGCATAGATATCAGTTTGAGGATGTCGTCGGACATGCACATCGTGAAATCGATTTAGTGCATATCGAGTCAACGGTCCATAAACAGTACTATCTATTCGGTCTAATGCAAATAATTGTTTTGCACCAAGAGTTTTTTCAACAAATGGTATAAGTTCCTTTTGTGGTGCTCGATCAGTCCACCAAGCTGTGTATTCAAAGATTAAATGATGAATACGTTTTTCACGAAATAATTTTTCTGCCGAACGAAGTGCATTTAGTTCAAAACCTTCGACATCAATCTTTAGCATAAGAATAGATGACTGTTGTGGCCATTCAACATCATCAAGACGAATTGTAGATACACGCGATGTTCCATTAGATGATGTTGTTTCACCACCTCTAAGGGAAAACATTAGTTGAGAATTTGAAGGTAAATCGCTGACGGCATTTGGTGTAATTCGTACACGTGACGTAGAGAAATTGTTGAGTGAAATCGATGTTCGAATGAGATCAACCACATTTAGTTGTACTTCAAAAAAAAAAACTTGACAATTACATGCTGCTGCATATAATCCAAATTCACTTGTTAATAGAAACAAGAGAATATGTAAACTTTGACTCTGGTCTTCTCATTTGACATACTCAAATAATATGATTACATTGCTATATTATCGAAACCTCTTTGCTATCCCGATCGAAAAATCAGATTTAAGATCTTGCAACATCAGATGAAAATCGTACAAAAAATTGTAGTCTCAGAACTCTTACATTAAGTCGTACTATAAGATTCTTGAAAGACCTAATCGTCGCATAAGTTTTCCTATAATCTTACAGTGATATTTTGTAAGGCAACAAGATCTTTCGAGATTCTTATAATACGACTTAGCGTAAGAGTTCTGAGGCTACGATTTTTCGTACGATTTTCGTCTGATCTTACAAGATCAGAGGTAGGATCTCATCAGATCTTAATATCTGATTATTTGTTCTGGATATATGCGAGACACATTCATAACATACAATCCTTACAACAGTCTCTCAGAGAGGTGTAAAATCTGCCGCTAAAATGAAAAATTTCTTCAAACGGAGATGAATTCTTAAAAAATTTTCACTGCTGTCAAAATAAACCAAAATCTGTGGTATCTTTTTCACTCGCACATTCGAAGAAAGTGAAAAATGAAAT